AAAATGACCAAATTTCGCGATTTTTGCAGATTTAGAAAGCCCAGAAAATGGGTGATTCCGATGTTGATATGTCGGGGCTAGAGAGTTCAAATCAGGTTTTCTCCAGGTCGAAATTCCCGGCCCGGAAGCTGATAGTGAAACGCTAGCTATAGCATTTTTATGCATGCAAAATCAATTTTGACAATTATGTACACGTTACTGAGTGCACACGTGGGCATATATTGCGCGCAATGATCTTATATAATCAGTGTAGTATAGCACTTGAAACATGCTTTTATTGATCCATTAATTTATTGACTGTAGTACGTAATATTGCACGGGCTAGTTATATACACTTTCCGGTGTCGCGACAGTCTGTCGACGGTTGGGGAACTGTTGCCCAACGGTTGCCCGACCGTCGCCGGCAACAACTCCGCGATAAATTTGAAAATGTCGCAACAGTGTTGCGATACTGCGTCAGTAATTTGCCCGTAAATAGGGGCAAAAAAGAAAATTACACGGCGTTTCAAATTCGCTCGATGACACACTCTCTACTTCAGGACTTAAGCAGCCTAGGACATTAGAAACATACTGTAACTTACAGCAGAGTGTGTCAATCGGGCATTTGAAAATGGGAATGGTGTCAATGTGCTTCGACAATGTGCTTTTACAGGGTTGAATAAGTCGAGTCTCCGGAGCCCGGCACTCGAGTTTGACCGATCCGGCTATCGGCAAAATCTGAGTCCAGGATCGGAACATTGTAGCCTGAAAGTTTGACTCGGCGGTCGGTTATGTCAACCCCGTATGAAAATCGAACGTCGAAAACGTACTTCCGGTGTTGCGACAGTGTCGCGACAGAGTTGCAACCCTGTTGCAATGTTGTCGGGCAACCGTTGGGCAACCGTCGGTTCCCCGACCGTCGACGGACTGTCGCGACACCGGGAACTGCATATAACTAGCCCATGCTGTGGGTTTTGTATAATGCTGGCGTGTTGCATGGCGTGCACATGGTAAGACCGCCCGTGCAGCTAGAACTTAGGGCGGCGGGGGCCGGGCCCTTTGCCTGATCGCCCCACAAAAGATCTTTTGTGGGGCGACCGGACGGGGCAGAATTTCAAAAAGTGCATTGATTTTGTGCGTATCCTTAGACAATTGGACCATATTTGAAGCAGTGGTAATGTCACAGTAATTGGTCCGTGAAAATTGCGAGCGCGCAGCATGTGTGCTGCTAGCATGCGCATGGAACATGGTTGTACTATAGCTACCGTACTTCAATGTAAACGCATATAAACACTGTACTATCCGATCGGTATATGACGACGCACTGCAAGCTCTATCCTGGCCTGACTCATCCGACTATTTCAATAGTTCAACGCATGCTTTGTCCGGCGCATACCGTATGTCAAATGATCAATTCAATGGCACATCGATATGCATGTTCCACTGTTAATTATACTGAACCGTCCTGATCGATCTCACAATAATGAGCTAGTCTTGCCAGGCCGGGCCGGGTACAGCCCATGCCGATCGCCCATCCGAAAATCGATCCAACGAGCAGATCTCATGCAGTGCGAATCCGATAATTAGTGGTGAAGTGGCCGGCTTGGAGCCTCAGGCCATCCTGTGCCCCTGGGCCCGATCAATGCAATAGCCTAGGTCACATAATTATTGGTGAAGTGGCTTGGAGCCTCTGGCCATCCTGCCCTGCCCCTGGGCCCGATGCAACAGCCTAGGATGCAATAGCCTAGGTCACAGTGGTAATCCCTGGTACCATTGCCAATGATCACTAGAGTACCGCACCGGATAATTGATTAGTAGCTTACATAAATTGACGTAAAAAATCTACCAACCCATAGATCAACCCGGGTGCGCATCACATTCAGATCAGTCACCATCACTACCTTCTTGACAGATGGGTACAACATTCGACCGCAAGCAAGACGGTGTGCTGTTGGAGCCTATCTAAGGTCATTAAATCTTCTCAATCATATCTTTCAGACGCAATAACTTCATCCAGTTGCGCTAGGATTATTTACATCTAGCTCGTGTTTGCTACACACGAAGGACACTACTACTGTTATGTCATCCAATTTACCCCCTGTGTACAAGTGACCAGCATCCATGGCAGCCTTTGCAAATGGAGAGTGACGTTGCGTGTCCTCCCCCCTGGCCCTGGCACAGCTTGCCAAGTGGTTTGCAATTTCGTGCGGAAGGAGTTTACCCCTGCACAGGTCGATCAGAATTTTAAGCCGCAACAGCAAGCACAAAAGTCCTCTACAGCTCTGTAAGTAGACTTCAGGGACTGATCTGCATGGCGAATCGGCAGTCACCCCAAACACATGGATCTGTGTCAATCGCTATGCCGGAGGTGGCATCTTGCTTTGCTGAAGCGGAGCCTTGCAGCAACTTGCACCTAACAACGCTTATTGGTTTAACGCCTCACCTCTTGGCTACATTTACGATGTTGAGCAACTCGAAGTCGAACACGTTATCGAACAGCCCGTCTGTGCCCATCACAACAATGTCCCCTGGCACAGCCTTCAACCGGAAGGTCTGCGCATGCCAGCAAGCACGGGTCAGATGGGACGCCGTGCCGCACCATGCCGGCTGCTAGTGTACCATAGCGGTGGCCGTGCACGAGGATGGGGTGCGGCAGGGCACATGAGCGGGCCACAAACTGCGACAATCATGTAGCGCCTGGACGCCCTGCCACACTGTCTGTTGTCCAAACAAGGTGAAGGGTGCTCCATTCTCATCCAAGGTGCAACTCGGGGTGAAGGTTGTCAGGACGGTGCATCATCTCCAACTACAATCCTTTCATTTTGGGTGTCCCTCACCTCCGCACTTGTGATGGGGTCCCCGCGCGTGCGCGCCAGCTGGAAGGGGAAGTTGAAGCGGTGCTGCTGCACGGGGGACTTGAACACAATCCGGTCGTCACGAATGACCACAAACGCGCTGTCCCCGACGTTCACCGCAGAGAGGGCCTGCCAACAGGAGGCCACCAGACCAGTGTGAGAGTGTCTCCATGCAGGGGCACGGGTCGCGGTTCAGCCCTTGCAATGCACCAGGGAGGAGACCAACAGCAACGTAAGGGCCCACCTCGCGCAAGGCAGCTGGCGCGCAGCACCTCACGGCAGACTCAGGAGGACCACCCTTGGGTTCGAGCCCAAGGAGCAGCGGAGCAAGGTCACAACCCCAAAACTTCTAACAAAAAGTGGCATACAGCCAGACACTTCCGAAGAAAACCACCGATACAGCCAGTCCAAAGCTGTCATCAGAAGGGCCTGGTCATCTGATCGCGTCTCAATGCCTGTGACGCCTTGTGTAAACAAAAGTTGGTGGGGAATGCCAGACTCTCCATTCCACAAAATGTCACAAAGGTGATAAAGGGTTTCGACCTTTGGATCTATAAACCAAGATAGCTGAAGACTGGCCTCAAAACAATAACTGCTATTCGCTGGTCAAGCGCAATGAAATAGGTCGAACATACTGAGGCCGAATGCCCGAGCCCTGCAACACGGGTGGAAAGTTGTGGCGGGCAGCTCTCCCTCACATCATCATTGAGCACCAGCACGCACGCCGTGGCGGACCCCTGGCTGTGCGTCTCCGCGTGAGCGCGCGCCAGGGCGTCCAGCGGATCACGCACGGTAGCCGCGCTGTCGCGGATGGCGTCGCGCGTGCGCATCATCAGCTCCTTGGCGTAGATGCCCGCGTCCACGCCCACGTTGGCCCACCCACCCACGCCGTCCGCCACCCCGATCGCCTGCGCCTCCCCATACACAAAGTGCGCATCCTCGCCCCCCTTGAACTCCTTCTCGGGGTGTGGGACGCTTGCCGCCGCGGAGCGCAAGCACAGTGATCCCGTATGGACGTGGGGCCTGCGGGGGAGGGGCAAGGTGGACGGGGTGAGGCACAAGGACACGATGCATAACACACAAAAGGTTGCCTTAAGACCGGGAATGAAGTCAAAGCCTAAGCTGACCTCCCGCACACCACCAGCTTGCCTGCATGCTCGCAAGCCAAGTCCAGAGGTGCTCACTTGCGCGCGGCGCTTTCTGCTACATCTTCATCGTCGTCGTCTTCCACTTGCCCCGGGAGCGGCCTCGGGAACCCCGCATTGTTGAGCTCCTTCCAGTAGAAGTCCGCTGCGACGGGCAGCTTGATGGCGGAGGCGGTCATGGGGTGCACAAAGTGGAACGCCGCAGCCTGCTCCAGCACGGCCTGGCACCCCACCCCAAATGGGGGCACCGGCTTCGCGGCCCGCATGTCCGGGGACTCATCGGGAGATTCCCCGCAGGCCCTGCTGGTCCGCCAAAAGCTGGCCTCTACAGCTGCTTGGATGTCGGGCTTCTGAAGAAGAGCCAGCGTCTTGTCCCGGACTGCCAAGTCCACAGCAGAGGCGGCACCTTGGCGCTGCTTCTGTATCAGATCCTCAAACTGGCTGCGGAACCCGGCAGAGGCGGTGGATACGACATGACGCTGCAGGGCCAGGTGTGGGCATTAAAATAGGGGCGGAGACAGGACATGCAAGGCAGGATTGGCAAGCCTTGGTTCTTCGAGGAGTTTGACAAGAACGTGACACAGAGTCGCTGAGACATTACAACTCTATTCTTAAATCGAACATTTTCAGTAGAAATCTGAGAGTCATGACTGGAAAAGCCCTGCTTTCTACAGCCACTTGAAACATACATTAGCACCATCAGGCGACTTGGCATATCACTTCAAAGCTCCAAGGCTCATGGGAAACTTGCATGTCGTGACCTCTCGCTTGCGCATTTTGCAAGGTGGGCCGAACAATCATGCTGACCCCCAATTGCAAACTTGGCAGCTCAACTGAGCAGCTCAACTCCATCCAACAGAAAGATGCCACCACAACAGCAAAGTTCGTAAGCACAAACATCACGATTGATCCAGAGACTGACTTCTTGAATACAAAATACTCTCATGGATGATGTGATCCCAAAGTGCCAAGAACCTTTTACCTCGCTGTTTGCGGCCTCTGGCATGGCAAAGAGCTTGAGTCCCACCGCATCCCCAATAGGACGCGCCAGGTCCCTGGCCCTCCTGGAGGACACCCGGGCCCCCCATGCTGCGACCGTCTTGTGGAGGGACGCGGATGGCCCATGCATCATGCGAGAGGACATGAGCAGGCCCTGCACAAGATCAGCAGCTACGGCACAGTGAAGTTCCCCTCATCTTTGATCCTCCTCGCGACAAACATCCACCTCAAGGTCCCACACCCTCCTGACAAGACTGGGTCGTCAGTCCTCCCAATCTCCCCTAAGCTGGAAACGTCTACCTACCTAGCGACCTTTTGTAAACTCCCTGGCCCGGCCCTGGCGTAGCTGGGCGTAAGCTGGGCGAGATCGCGTCTTGTCATGACTGCCCTTGCAGGCCTGCCACCCACTGGCACCAGGTCAGCAAGCATACAATGGATACATACATGTGTGGGCTCTGCCAGTCCTGGCGGAAGTGACCAGGCTGAATATGTATATATTTAAATTTATCAAATACCGTAAGTAATTTCTTCACAGGCTGGTACCGGTAGTCTGAACCGACGGCGATGCGCAGCTCCAGTACGAAATTTGTGTCAAAAAACCGCTGTTTCTAGTACAACTTTCAGGCAGGAGTCAGGACGCCAGATCTATATTACCGGTACCTATTACGGTAGTGCACATCCGGTCTCCTTTCCCGGCCCCTGGGGTTGCCATTAAAACGACATGACAACAGAGGTCCTGCCGGAATTCTGGAGCTGCATGTGAGCTGAGCTGACTCGCACTTTGTTAAAATCGTAGATCTTTCCTCCTTCACAGGCTTCAGCATCGCTGCATCTGGCCCTCAGTGGGGCAAGCTTCACGAGCTTGGCATGTCGACCATGGATCCGGGTTTCTGAAGGGCTCTCAGGCTCGTTGAGAGCAGCTGACCTTGTGCGAAGCTGAAGATGATGGCACATTCCTTGCTTTGCACAGGTGTGGCTCCTCTTCAGGCGGCAGCTGTTCTGACGGCAGGATCACGAGGTACAGAGTTGGGATCCGTCCGCCGCGGTGCGTGGGGCCCCTACTTGGAGAAGCACCGCGGGCACAGCCTGTTCCGGGCGCAGCTGGCCCAGGTGAGCTGCAAACCTGCCTCACAGGCACACCGGCAGCGCTGAAGCACCCAAATGCTGAGTTGGTGCAAAGGCAGCGCAGCATTGCCTACCATATATAAGTTTGTGAATAGGAGATCCGTTTGCGTGTATTGCCAAAAACTACAGGGTGTTCATTCTTCCATGCTGGATACCTAGAGATTCAAGACCCCATTGCATTGGTTGGATGTTTCTAAAGACAGGATCTCGGCAGATCTATGCACCCTTCATTTGTGCTGCTTTTGTTATTGGAATCCATCATGTGTATGGGAAGTTGTTCCAGCTCGCTAGAGTCCCGGTGTTCTACTGGCCTCCCTGACTGGTTCTGGGTTGTCAATACGTGCAGCCGTGCAAAATCTGTGCCAGTGCCAGACCAGGGGGCCAAGCGCCAGGTTAGTTACCCCTTCCTTTCAGATTGTGGGACCATTGTGGAATGGTTACTAAACGAATGAAAACTTCGTGCCAGAGGCCACAAGGGATTTGAAGTACTGTCTGGTTTGGGTACCTTCAAAGAGTCTAGATGGTCCACCTGCCTGCAGACTGAAACACAGATGATCAGTGTATGCACCCTCATGTCACTTGTGCAAATCGTGCTCAATATGCAGGCCGGGGGCGCCGCGGGCGCGGCAAGGCTGCGGGCCGGGGCACTCGGGGCCGCGACGCTGGGAGCCAAGGCGGCCGCCCTGGTGGGCGGAAGGAGGGGCTGAGAGATACCCCCGCGCCACCGCCGCCGGACAAAAGCGGTGAGGAGGAGGGGGTCATAGAGGGGGGCGCTGCGGTGTTGACGGCAGAGAGGGAGCCCCTGGAAGAGGAGGGAGCTGACAGCGGCGGGGCTAGCTCGAACGGGCATCCAGTCGCGGAAGGCACCAGCCCGGCAGAGGCAAGCACCACGTTCGCAGATCCGGAGTCAGGGTCAGAGTCGGAGTCGGAGGAGTCGTTGCGCGCGGATTGGGAGCGGCTAGAGCGGGAGGCAGCACAGCGCCTGCTCGCCCTACAAACCAGGCAGGCAACTGAAAGGGGCCAGGAAGCACAGGGAGGGGACGAGGCAGAGCCGGAGAAGAGATCGCAAAGCAGGGACAGCGGCTTGGAAGATGTCGACACAGCTACGGACCGCGGAGCTGAGGAAGGCTCCAGCGCCAGTCAGGAGCGGGCTGCCACAGAGGCAGGCGCATCCGACAGTGAAGAGGGCGGTGTCTCCGAGAGCGGCCAACAGAAGGAGCCCAGCCCCGCACCACCAGCGGCTGCCGAGGGCGGTGGGGCCAAGGCCATCGACCAGAGAGCAGCTGAGCTGCAGGCGCTGGCACAGGCCCATGCTCTGGACCGCATGTTCTTCTACCCTGAGCGCGTGACGGCCGGGGGCGACGTGGAGGTGTTTCTGAATCGTGGAGTGAGCACGTTGGCAGGGAAGGGTGAGATCGAGCTGCTGGGGTCGTTCAATGATTGGCAGTACCAGCAGCTGGGGGTGCGCCTGCAGCCAAGCGCGGAGCTAGGGGAGCCCTGGTGGACCGCCACATGTAAGGGCACCCCGCCACGGGCAGCTGTGATCAGATCTTGCTGCCTGTGTCTGCTTTAAAAAAAACTTGCCACTATTTTGTCTGTTGAAAAGTGGCTTGCTCAGTCTAGTTCTGGCTTCTCCTCTGCCTGGTGTGAAGTATTGGACATCTTGTGATCGGATTGATTTCGAGATATGTTGATCAAGAAGGGACCATTGCAGACAGTGCAGTCGATAGTGCAGCCATTGGAACCAAGTCGACAGTTCGACTTCCTCGTTGTTGGATTTTATGGGCCCTTCCAAACAAAGAGATGTGCGCTCTGCAATAGCAAGCTGGAATTGCGAGCAATGGTGTCTTATTTGTGGATATAAGGCTTCCAGAATCAGTGGGGGATGATCTAGTGGCGGTGCGATTCACGACAGTCTATAGAACAGGCATCATTAGAAAAGAATATTGCGCGTCAGCTCAAGCGATGCCTTGCAATCGAGCTGGCAACGTTCTAATGGTACATGGCGCAGGATCCGGCGGGGTTCTTGGCATCTCCTTGACTCAGTGCTGCATATAGTCAAACCGGGGCCTTGGCTTGCTGCTGCTCCCTTGGTCGGCTTGCTTGCCATTGCTGGCGGCTGATTGCTCACGACATGGTCCGTTGCTGTGGCAGTGCGCGTGCCGCGGGAGGCGTACAAGCTGGACTTCGTGTTCCACTCGGGGGAGGTGTATGAGAACAACGCGGGGCAGGACTTTTTCGTTGCCGTGGACGGGGGCCTGGACGAAGCCAGCTTTGGGGCTTGGGTGGCGCAGCAGAAGCGCGAGGAGCAGCGGCGGCAGCTCCAGGAGAAGGAGGCCGCAGAGGCGGCGGAGCGCGAGCGGCGCCGCGTGGAGGAGGAACAGGCGCAGGACGCCAGGGACCGCGAGGCGGCAGCGGCAGGTGAGCCGCACCGGCAGGACGGCGGGTCCCGAATGGACCCAAGGGAGCACCTCGAGTTCCCCCTTTGGTCTCGTGCCCTTCCGGAGGGCAAGTCTATTCCTTCCAACGCTGGATTTCCATCTTGAAAGGCCTGATCGTCTGGTCCTGGCTCCGCTGGAAAGAAGGATTTTTTCATTACTGTTTGCTGATTCGCTGCGGTAAGGCCCGAATCTGTGATTCTGTTTGTAACCTGTTGCTCCGTCCACTCGTAGGCCGCCCTCAGTGTATCCTGTCCATTGTAGGGAGCCGGTAAAGCATTTGGGAAATGTTGGGCGCAATACACCCGAGTATTGGACATCAGGACGGCTTAACACCGTTCTTTGCCCGGCGTTTTGCTGGGCCTTGAGTCCGGTCCAGCTGTGTTTGCCTGTCCTGCTGCCTGACCTTGCCGCCCTCCCCGCGCCATGCCCAGCTGCGGTGGCTGTGCGCTCCGCCCTGTCTGCGTCCCTGGCCGTTGCTGCCCCGCGCGTGCCCAGTGTCTTCTTCACGGACCCGGAGCCGGTTGCTGCGGGCGGCCAGGTGCGCCTGGTGTACAACCGGTCGTATCGGCCGCTGTGCTTTGCGGGCGAGGTGTGGGTCCACGCGGGGTACAACGGGTGGCAGGACGGCGTGTCCACTGTGGTGCAGATGGCACCCGAGACATCCGTGGAGGACAAGGGCGACTGGTACTCTGTCGAGCGTGAGTGCACACACCCTTCTTAACCGCACAGTGCTCCCTTAGCGGAGAGAGTTCGGGCGCTTCGACCAGCAGTCCAAGCCGGATCACTCTTGACGACGGCAGCTCTAGGAATTGGCAACGGCATACCTGTCGGGACAGGATTGACAAGCTCTTGTAGTTGCTAAAAATCCACCTTTCAAGTGCTGATTCTCAAGGAGGTAACTTTGGAATTCTGGAAAAGACCATCATGCATGCCCCCCCGGTCCCAGCTTTGTTACCGATCCTTCAACGTTCCTCTTCTTTTGGCAGTGGAGGTCCCTGCGGATGCTCTGGTGCTGGACTGGGTCTTGGCGGACGCGCCCCCCGAGCGCGCGCAGTACTACGACAACAACGACCTGCGCGACTTCCACGCCCCCGTGGCCCGCTCAGAGGGGCTGGAGGCCTACCTGGCCCGCCTCGAGGACGAGGCATATGCGCGCATCCGGGCGGAGCGCGCACAGCGCGAGCAGGAGCGTGCACAAAGGGTGAGCCCCAGCGCCGACCTTGATTGTACGGTCTATTCTCGTCTTTCATGCATAGCGTGGCTTCAAGTGGCAAGTCCGCTGTGCCTTGATGACAAGCGGCTACCCATCTTTTGGCTAGTCGAGAGCACTCTTCGTATCAGTTTCGCGGACCAGTTGGGATCATCGACAATGCGGCGCGGCCCTCTTACCTTTCCCCGACGCCCTCTTCGTTCCTGACGCGTGTCCCGCCTGCTCCCCTGCCAGGCTGCGCGGCGGGCCGCTCTGCGGAAGGAGGTGGCTGCGCGCACGGCCGCGCAGTTTGTGGCGGTGCAGTCGGCGGTGCTGTACACGGAGCCGGCGCCGCTGCAGGCGGGGCAGGAGGGCAGCGTGTTCTACAACCCGGGGGCCACCGCGCTGGCGGGGCGCAGCGAGGTGTGGATCCGCGGCGGCTTCAACCGCTGGTCGCACCGCGACGGGACCTGGGGGCCCATCCGGATGGAGCCCACGGAGGACGGGCACCACCTGAGGGCCACCGGTGAGAGTCACGGACGTGATACGAACGGGCGCCGAGGAGGAGGCGGCGCCAGCCAGCAGCTCTTGAGATCCGGCCATAGGACTGAGTTCGTCGGTCAAAGCTTGGAGGAGGCGGCTTAAACGGTCGCCGGTCTGACTCTGAGTTTTAGCAGCACAAGGTCCGAAGGAAGAGGAGGACTAGCTTGCGCAAGCCATCTGTGCAAACCAGTGGGCATTGCCTTCCTGCCCATCGCCTTTACGCTCCTGCTGAAGTCCGTGTGGCCATGGCTTGGTTGCAGTGGAGGTGCCGGCCGATGCGTACGTGCTGGACTGCGTGTTCAGCGAGCGCGGGGGCGGCGACGGCGGGCTGTACGACAACAAGGCCGGCCTGGACTACCACGTGCCCATCAACGGCAGCACCGCGCAGCCGCCCCCGCTGCACGTCGTCCATATCGCGCTGGAGATGGCGCCCATTGCCAAGGTAGGGCGTGGCTTTGTCTGAACGGTGGAAGAATTTTGCGCTTGGAGCCCGTCTGCCATTGGAAAAGTCGTCCACGTCAGCTCAAACAGACACCTCGCAAAAGTGTTTTCTGTTTGAAACACTCTGGCTTGTCTCGTGATGTGCGCCTGCTTTGGTATTACTGCGCTGCTTTGCCGTTTGATTGCGGCTGCTCCGGGCTGCGCCTGACGGCGCGGTGGGGCATGCGGTGCAGGTGGGCGGCCTGGGCGACGTGGTGACGAGCCTGGCGCGGGCGGTGGAGGAGGCGGGCCACACTGTGGAGGTCATCCTGCCCAAGTACAACAACCTGGACTACTCGCAGGTCAGCACAATCCCCTGGCGGCTCTCTCCCGGTTTGACAGATGATGCCGGTCTGAAACCGGACGACTGCTCTGCCCAAAGACCCTGTTGCATTTGTAACAATGTATCTCGCCTCTGGCGGTCGTACCAGGCTCTGCCCTCTTGGGAAAGTCGTATGCATTGCCGGGAGTATTCTGGCGGGGGCCTGCCCCGGCCGCCGCTGCACGCGCAGTGGCGACCTGAGCGTTGTGCGCCAATGATGTGTGGCAGGTGCACTTTTTGGAGGAGACGGAGTCGTTCTCGTTCGGCAGCACCACCATCCGCACGTGGCAGGGCAAGGTGGAGGGCCTGCTCGTCAAATTCATCGAGCCCGAGAACGGGTGAGCCATTCCCCTGCCACCACGGCGCACAAGCAAAGCCTGCCCGCACTGGAGCATATTTCTTTCCTCAGCTTGCATGCCCAGCTTCGACCATGAGGTGCGCGCTCACAGTTGCTGTTTCTTTACGCCTGCTGAGGGCCTCTTCGGCCGCGGGTTCCTTTGCTGCGATACCTGATCCGCTGCGGCTGCGTTGGTGCGTGCAGCATGTTCTGGGTGGGCACCATCTACGGCCGCCGCGATGACGGGCCGCGCTTCGAGTTCTTCTGCCACGCCGCACTGGAGTACCTCCGTCAGACCAAGCAGAACCCGGTAAGCTCACGCTTCGCCCGGGCCCTTCTCATGATCACCATCTGGCACTGACGATGCGTGCACTCACTCTACGAGGACCGCCCCCGGCTCCAGAGTCGTTCGCAGCGATCCTTACCGGGGCGGATGTGTGCTGTCTGATAAAAGTCACCTCCTGGCCCCGCTTGCTGACTGCGTAACTGTGCATCTGCGGCACAGGACATCATCCACTGCCACGACTGGTCGTCCGCTCCCGCTGCGTGGATGTACTGGGACCTGTACCATGCCAACGGCATGCCCAACCCGCGCGTCGTGTTCACCATCCACAACCTCGAGTTTGGCGTGCCCCAGATCGGCCGCGCCATGGCCGCCGCCAACAAGGCGACCACCGTGAGCACCACTGCACCCCTCATCCCCTCGCTGTTGTGGCCCGGTTTTCGAGCGAGGGCCAGTCGAACTTTTGCACGCCAGGCGCTCATTTTCGAGACAAGGTACGAAAAGGACCTTCGTTGAGAATTCTTTGCTGACCGCCACCCTCCGCTTAAGTCGCTGCCCCCGCTTTGCTGCGCAGGTGTCTCCGACGTACGCCAGGGAGGTGTCGGGCCACGGCGCCATCGCCCCCCACGTCGGCAAGTTCCACGGCATCCGCAACGGCATCGACGCCGACATCTGGGACCCGCTCGGCGACGACTTCCTGCCCGTGAGTGCCGCGCACCACCCAGCACGACCGCACTGAGATACTCTGCTCGAGCCACAATCAGTTTGATAGAGTATGCGGCAGCCAATCAGGGCGCCGCGATTGCCTCCCATTTCCTGGGCCGCCTCAATGCTTGTGACGGCTCCTGTCTTCTCTAAGCCCCCGGTATTCAATTTTGTCATCGCTGCTAACGCGCGCACCTCCGCTTGCGCTGCAGTTGCCGTACAGCCCTGAGGAGGTGGTGGCGGGCAAGGCGGCGGCGAAGGCGGAGCTGCAGCGGCGGCTGGGCCTGGTGGAGGACGCGGGGCGGCCGGTGGTGGGGTTCATCACGCGGCTGACCGCGCAGAAGGGCATCCACCTGATCAAGCACGCCCTCTGGCGCAGCCTGGAGCGCGGCGCGCAGGTCGTCCTGCTCGGCAGCGCGCCCGACTCGCGCGTGCACAACGAGTTCGCGGGGCTGGCCAACCAGCTGCAGGCGCGCTTCGGCGGCCACGCGCGGCTCTGGCTCGGCTACGACGAGCCGCTGAGCCACCTCATCTACGCGGGCAGCGACGTCATCTGCGTGCCGTCCATGTTCGAGCCGTGCGGGCTGACGCAGATGACGGCCATGCGCTACGGGGCAGTGCCAGTCGTGCGCAAGTGAGCCGCGTCAACTCAACTCTGAGCCGGCCTGTTTGGATGTGCCCAACTTGAAGTGGAGAAATCAAGCCTGCAACTGAAACAGTGTTCTTAAACTCGTGTATGACGCAGCGTGCCACTCTCGAACACTAGACATCATCTTTTCGACGGCAGGCTGTTCTGGCCTACAGCTGGAACGGGCCCTCAAAGCACCGCGGCCAGAACGCCCTTGCCTGTGTGTCCTCGCAGGACGGGGGGCCTGGCCGACACCGTGTTCGACCTGGACCACGACCGCGAGCGTGCAGGGCGCGAGGGGTTGCAGCCCAACGGGTACTCCTTCGAGGGCACCGACGCGTCAGCGGTGGACTACGCCATCAACCGCGCGCTGGACCACTGGTACAACGACCGGGCGTCGTGGAACACCCTGGCGCGCACTGTCATGGAGCAGGACTGGAGCTGGAACCGGCCTGCGCTCGACTACCTCGAGCTATACTATGGCGCACGGAAGTAGGACGGAAACACATGTAAAGCAGACAGTACCAAGCCCTATGACCACCGTGTCGTGGAAGATCTGGTCTGGCGAAGGGAAGCAGTGTTTGAGGGTTTCCACACGCGAGTGTTTCTGGTATCTCGCGTCACGTAGCGACTTTGATACCGTCCCAGCTTGTCAACTGATTTGATTACCTCACTGCATCCAGGGACTTCCCTTCCGTGGCTGTGCACAGCACTGTAGGGACGTCCATCCATCCTGTCAATCCACATTCGAAGTCCGAGTCAGTGAACTAGGTTTAGCGTCGACAAGCAATCGTCAACTTAGCAGGCTTGGGGCAGCATTTGCGAGGCGCCTCCATTTGAAAATGGAGGGAGCACAGGTTCACCTGACAATTGCATGCCAATGGAAGCCTTTTGTATTATCGATCAATTTAGGCACGGGCGAATACCAGAGGATTGGAACTGGATCATTCGACTCAGCCCTATGGTCAGAAGCAAAGTTGAGTCCTGGTGCGCGACTCAGTCAGTGACTTTGTGTAGCACGTACATACGAGACAACGTGCTCTTTGGTGCCAGCTACTGATGATCAAGCTGCATTCCCTGATTGCATGATTGCTGCTTTTATCAGTGAACCCGATAAATCGGCCCGCTCGGCGACCCTATCAAAGTTCCAAGTCTAGGGTCGCAACAAGGTCGATCGTGATGATCCGATGCACATCCATGTTTGTCGTCAGGACCTGATTGCGCGGCTGCACGTTACTTAGTAGCTCACCGTATGTGCATGTACGTGCTCACATGATCATATGCGCGCAATGCATAGCAGAGTATATAGAGTGCAGCTTGTACTAATCGTTCATTCGCAGCGCTATAGTCGTCTAGTCACGTCTTGATTGCATGACTGAACAAGAACTTTGGAACAATCCCAAAGAAGTTCAGGTGCTGGTACTTTCCATCCATTTTCCAGTGGTAATGTACATCCGATCGCTGAGCAGCTTTTGTGTTATAGGAAAATACATTTCTAGTACGATCTGCGGTGTATACGTACTAAAGAGAAGTTGGAATTGGAGTACACATGTTGAATTGCATGCACTTGAAGCATGACGGTTAATTCGATCGAGAAAAACACACCACAATGATATGTGTGCCATGAGAAGCCTAAGCTAGCTACTATTGCATGGCCTCTTTGCAATTACCGTATACATGATGGCTGCGGCGAAAATCCAGTAGATGCTGGCGCCGCGGACTGATTGAACTTATACTCAAAACATGCATCTCTTGAGTTCAATCATGGTTCGCGGCGCGCCGCAAAGACTCGTCGGACCTGTACCAAGTTAGAAATGATTCTAGCTAGCGCGCCAGCTTAGTATAGCTCATACTATAGGACTTACTCATATCAAAGCATAGTACATCAGATATGCTATATAGCTCGTATATGTATAACGGGATGTGTCAAATTCTCCATCGAGTCTAGCTAGAGCCATGTTTAATCGTCAATGGCCCGGCATCGGCGGCATGGCCCCGCGCGCCGTTGTAGTGCAGATTTTCCAGTACATCCAGTGAATTGGCATCGGGTCACTGATATATGGACGCGCATTCAACCTCAAGTATTTGCATGCCGATGTCACATGTCGCGAAACATGGTATCTATGCGCGATTTGCCGACCGTAAAGTACACTGCATGGCTTGTCACTGAGTTGCATGGCAACTCGAACTAAGTGACTTACTTAGTAGGCCTTTATGTGCCATGGCATTTATGAATAGTTTTTAATGCTAGTACATACGTGTACGAAAGCCTGGTCATTATTGCGTATGATATCTCTATGATCTGCATCCAGTAGCATTCACCAACTTCGGTACGTTGGGCTAGCCTTACAAGGGGTGATGAAGATTGCAACAAATAGAGAGTCACCGACATCAGCCTAGCTATGCACAAGATGGCAAATGCATGTGCAGCAGCGGGCCCGTCCTGGGCCCCATAAGCTTTTGACATAACCGCAGCTTGATGCATCTCGAAAAAGGTCGATGACTTGGCCGCGGCGCTCCAGATAACGTAGTTCTCTCCGGCTCCTGCTTCAGCCTCTACTTCTCGAACATGCCCTTCTTGACCCAGCCGGGGGCCAGCACCTTCTTGCCCCGCGCGAAGCTCCAGCGCAGCGCCAGGTCCGCTTCCCGCAGGACCAGCACGTCCCCCGGCAGCCCCGCCTCCACCCGGCCTGCCACCAAGCAGGAGGGGTAAGTGCGGGGAGAGCGCCGATGCTTGTCAACGTGCGAGCGGAAAGCTCGGTGGTTCCGGTCGACCCTTCTTGAGCAAACAGGCTGCCTGTGAGCGGCGACGCAACAAAGGGAGCGCAGCAGGCACTATAGTCCACCACGAGAAGTTGTCTTGCCCCGCTGCACAGCCGCTGGTCCAATTGTGCGATCCCTCAGTCAGACACGGAGATCGCAGCGCCAACTCAATCAGTATGGCGGCCTCGAGGGCGGGCAAGCGCTCGTCCCCGTAGGTGCACCCCGCGGTCACTAGGTGGACTTCAGTGTAGAAGCAAGTGTATGACCGTGTCAAGCCATCACGTGCAAACAAGAGATAGGATGGCGCCGTCACCTGCGGCGAGCAGGCCGAGGAAGTGGGCGGGGTTGCGGGTCACGAGCTGCAGCGCGGTGGGGAAGGCCCACCCGTGCGCGAGCACCAGGGCGCGCACCGTGGCCAGCAGCGATGCCGGCGAGAAGGCGCCGTAGCGCACCAGCCGACCCGCGCTGTCGTACTGCGGCAAGTCGACGGGAAGGGTCGACAAGCCCAGACCACAATTCTGCTACGTGCAATTGATCTGGAAAGAGAACACAGCCTCTCGACCGATCGCAATGGTACTTTTGACAATATCCAGGCATGATCATCAGCGCTGGCGAGGCACACGGAAGCGCTTTGGATGGGGCGAAGAAGCCTTTCAAGAGGAAGGCGGGCAGCGGGTCGTACTTCGGGGAGCGAGCCAAAGGCGTCGGACGAAAGGGAGACACCCGAGAGCGGCACCCCGACGCGCCGCCACTCCAACAACGCCGCTACAGACGCATTCTCGCCCGCCTGCACCAGAAATGCACCAAGCGGTCAATACCAGAGACGCATACGCCTGCATGGTCAGCGACCAGATACAGGCCCCGCAAGATCTGCCCCAAGCTGCTCCTATGCCGAGCCGGCCTGCTTTCTCCAGCCAGATGTTGAGACCAAAGGGCTTTCCTTTGTGCCTTGACATTTTCAATTTTTCGTTTGACTATTACAACAGATTTAGCTCAGAGCACGGCCGTTTCGGGAGTGCATCAGAGAACCCCAGCGAACCTCGCTGATCGTTTGTCTTTCTGGCCCACCTGGTCAGCCGTGAAGTCGACGTGGCCCCCCTGGCGTACCCAGCGCGCTGCATCGGCCAGCAAAGCGGGCCCGCGCAACGAAACGTGGGTGGGCAGCAGGTGCGTCATCGGGAGCGCACCGCCGGTCGCGTTCACCACCGCCCACAGCGGGCCCAGCAACGACGGCGCCTGCAGGGCCAAGGGAAGGCGGCATCAGGAGCTGCCAGTAAACCAAATGACTGCCAACAAAGCAAGCATGGGCCTTAGGGACGGGGCGAAACGCCCTGGTGTTAGCGACAAAGTAGACTGATGGCCTCATAGCGCTCCTAAGACACAGGTCGCCCACCAAAGGTCCACATGACTCTTTTCTTTCGAATCAGACACGAGGGTGGTCTTGGACACCAGTCAATTGAGAGGGCTCCCCAGCGTACATGGGTGGAGCGGCGGCGCGGCGCCCCGACGTACATCGCCGACATGCAGGTGCAGCACGCCGCGCTTGCCAATCAGCATGCCGCCCACGCGGGCGTCTGCCGCCAGGCTCAGCAGCTCCGCTGTGGACGGCCAGCTGCTGCGGTGGTCGCTCACCGCCACCTCGCCCGCGCCCACCACCTGTGCGGAGCAACCGAGAGAACGCTTCAGAAACGATGACAACGACTGCACCACGAGCTTCAAGGTGAAAATGTGGCGTGGCTGCTTCGACGGGAAGGCAAGGGGTTTAGTTGCGGACACTGTGCGTCCGGGTTGGACGGCCTGCATTGGAGCTCAAAGCTTCTAGCTTGCCTATGGCGGCGATTGAATTGATCCAAGCCCAGCCATCAGTGGACCAGGTGGCATGCTTGCCTGGTCCACAAGGGTCATGTCCCGCACGAGGGAGCCGGTGAGGGTGGGCGACGGCACGCGGTAGCAGCCGACCCACATGTGCGCGTGCAGGCCATCCGCCTCCAGGGCAGCCACCTGCGGGAGCATGGTTGAAAATAGAGGGAAGTCGAGTTTGTTGCCTGGGAAATTTTCAAACAAATTGGGCTCTCACAATCGAGTAAACACAGCGTCAACAAGATTGCGCAGCACGGCGATTTTATTGACCAAGAAGGTACCGAGCTCATTTTCACCCCGACAAACGATAGCCATGCAAGTCCCATAGCCCTACCTTGGCGCGCAGGTTCTCCAGGCTGCGGCTGACGCAGTCGGTGCCCAGAGTACCCACCACTGTGGTCACGCCCGCCGCGATGATCTCAGAGAGCTGGGCCTCCGGCTGCAGATCAACGTAGACGACACGGGTTGGAAACAAGATATTTATCCTCGAAGAACCTGGTACGAAAAACTGAGTTAGCCATCTCAGGTCAGGAGGCATATCAGTCTATAGGCCCCGCTTTCTGCTTCGCCTTCCAACCCTCCCTCTCGTGGGAGTTGGAGACCATTCGTAAAACATCAATGCATCACCGCTGCGTCATTTCATTGTTTCACCAGGTTCTAGTGACCAGGCTGTTTTAGACACAACGACAAGTCCGCTAAGGTTGGAAATTCTGGTGGTTGAAGAGCCCTCACCGTCCTGCTTGCGGGTCCTGCTTCTCCGCCCCCGCCTGTGATGTGCTCGTGGATGTCCACAAATCCAGGCACTACCACATGTCCCGCAGCGTCAATCACCTGGGGGGGGGGTAGGACACAGACCTCAGGCTGCCAATAAAAGCAGTCAGATCTGACCCGCCATTGCAGAAGCTCCCGACTTGCAAGTCACCGGCACTAGAGTTCTTGACCGGCAAGCAGTCAACACACTCTGGGACCACTTTCCCCAGATATAAGCTGGAATACGGATTGGCATAATAGATCCGGCCAGATGCTGACAGGGTGAGCTTTTGCCACAGTGGCCTAAGTGGGTGGCATAGTTGAGCGCTGCACTGCTGTCCCCTTTGACTAGACCCTCTACAGAGCAGCTTTTAGGGGCGCCTACCAGTGTCCATCATGAGAGGCTCACCTCGATTGGCAGGCCAGAGAAGTTAGCGGCGGGCATGTCTTGCGGGTCTAGGATCGCTGCAATCATGCCCCCCGCCAGAAGCACATCTTGACACCCTTCACACAACAAACAGTCAGGTCAGGGAGCAGGGAATGGCACCTGCTCCACCACTGTTGGAGCGCTACAAGCTGCAGTGAGGGTCATCAGGGAGGGGCATGGAGCACAGCGCAGGTCCACACTTGACAGCAGCATCCTCAAAAGTAAAGGACCTGTAGCAAGACACCCCTGAAAAGATGCCAGATGAAACCAGGATACCAGCAGCTGCACATATGTGTATTGCAAGATTTCTTGATGCAGTCTTACATACCAGGGGCTCGGGGGTGAAGACCTTTCCATTGATCAGCAATGTCATGGTAGGAGGAGTCTGAGTATCATGCTTTGGCGCAGCTTTGCTCAGATGACTGTCAAGGGCTGCGTCACATGTGGCAGCTCCTTGGCCTCCTTGCAAGCACTGATCAGCGGCAGCCCCGCTATGCGCGTCTACCTCTAGAGTGTGAGCACTATGCATAGCCCAGATTTGGAGCATCGCTGAGACGACAAAGAAGTACAGAACAAACTGCATTTTGCGGGGTGACCGCAGCATTGTAAAATGCGATAGAATCTTGTCCTCTGATGCAAGAGCTTTAAGGCTCATCACACGCCTGACTAGTTGAAAAAAGGCGTTGCTGGTGATAATCGCCGGCCCGGCCCCTGCAGCCTAAAAAGCTGCTTGCACCCACGTCTTGTAATCTGTTCTGGCCGATCTACGCAGGACCTGCCACTTCAAAAACGAGCGGTTCCATCTTTGGGCATTGGCCGCATTAATTGTGATTGACCTTGTGTGCAAGTTTGCCCAGAACTTGAGAGCTCAAGATAGCAATGGCCGCCATGCACGCCGCCGCCATGCACAGGCTCGGAATTGCAGTGCCTGCCCGCAGAGCCGGCCGCGTGACACCGCCGCCGCAGGGTTTGAAGGGTTGGCTTGATTTTCATCAATGGTAGCCGTGCGATCTCGCAGATCGACGGTCGAAGTGGACACGCATCGTCTGCAAGCGGCCTTGAGGGCCGTCAACGGCCAGCGACCTATTTCGAAGACTTTCGCAGCACGCAGGGGCGGCGCCAGAACCTTCGACATCTTGCACACTCCTACTGTAAAGACGACCTGAGGCCTTATCATAAGACGCAAGTGGTGCGCCCTGTGCTGCGTCTCAGAAGACCCCACTTTAGCGCGCTAGCCTTTGCTCTTCTGCTCTGACTTGAGGCACTGCACCGCCTGCAGACCACAATTGACGGCATTGGAGCATTGCTTCTACGCTGCGCCTCCAGAACCAGGGCAGCATTTGGACACACCTTGACAGAGTTGCCACGTCGGTTTGTTGACTTTCAGAAGAGCAAGCGGCGCAGTTGCTTCAGTTGCATGGTTTCTTGTGTGTGGAGAGGCGCGTGCAGCGTTGTGCTCGCCATACGGCAGTGCTTCGGGCTAGAAGACGTCAACAGGCAGGAGGAAGACAGGCTGGCCGTGATGGATGTGCTGCTGCACAAGGCTCTCAGTCCAAGTAGCAGCACTCCGAGCCCGCCTCGCGGGAATGCTGAACTACACCACCAGAGACGAACAAAGGAAGGCTCACGGTAAGCCCTGCATGCCATCAAGCCTGAGCCCTTCTGAATCAGGCTGAAACGAAGCAGGAAGTTCAAGTGATTGTATTCAAAGGATCGTTTTCTGCAATGGTGATGAAGTAAGTGTTTTGGAAGCGTTGCAAGAGCACTTCAGCACCTTAAACGTTGCATAGAAGTTTCAAAGAAAGAACAGAATTCATTGTGGGTGCGCATGACAGGGTTCCTAGCAAATGGTCTTCACCTTGTAGACAGCAGTATCTTCTGAAAGTCGACCTTCTTTTGTGGGATTTTGACTACCATGCAACTTTTGACAATAGGGGGGTTTGTAAGAAAGACTGATTGACAACATTTTGAAAGGGGTTTCAACAACGGCCTTCTGGCCTAGGGGTTAAGTATGATAACAAAACCTTAAAAAAAAAGTGCTTGCTACTACAGAAGGCATCCAGGAGACTCCCCTTGCCAAAGCCAGCAATCTGGCTTTTGCCATCTGACAGGTGTCAGCGCTGGAGGGTGTTCAATTGAAGTTCATATACAGCTGTCTGGAGGTTGAGAGGTTCCTTACTCTTTCAAGGCTCCTATACATTAAAGCCTATTAACGAGGGGGGTGTACTAACAAAAAGGTTCAGAGTCATGGTATTGAAGTGCAAGCCTCTGCCAAAAGATTGCATCTGTTCGTTTGGCAAAGTGGTGCTCAGCATTGGCTGTCCGCTAGACAGCTTCTTGCTCAAGCACAGGTGTCCCTGTCATGAAAAGGTGTAGAAAGCCGTTGTGAGGAGCCTGGTGCGTCCTGTTCCCGCAGGCCCGCCAGCGCAAGCATGCTGCAGAAGGCTCTTGTCAAGCTGGTGCCCAAGGCCAAGCCTCCGCCCCCAAGCACCATGGAGACACCGGAAGGCTCGTACTTCGCGCTTCCAGTAAGTGCATACAAGGTCGATAACCCTGCCAAATACATTCATAGCGCTGTTGCATAGATAACAACTTTTGCATTATTCTCAGATCCCGAGAGCCTGGGTGTTTGGCTTTGCAAACCTCGTGTCCTGAACCACACATTTCGAAGATGCACAGGGAGACTCCAGCTGTCTGCTTGTATGTCCTGGGCATTCTGTTGGAAGCTCGTCGATTCGTTGTCATCACCACGCAATACTAACCGTTTCGCTCATCCAGGTGGCAAAGCTTGTAGCCAGGCCTTCATCGCTTTTCATTCCTGGACTAAGAACCTATGTAAAACTATGCATCTTTTCGAAAGCAAACATGAATGCTGACAACTGCAATCACATCCAACGCCAAAACCAAAGAACTTGAAACTGTTTCAGAGTTCCTCTCTTTGCCACCTGTCTGCCGTCCGAAAGATTCCTTGACATTCTGATCATCCCTAACGTCCCTGTCTCCCAGGCGGCTGACTCCGGGGTTCTCGCCCCCCCGGGCGGTATTCTGCGGCGCAACCCTGGGCTGGAGAACGCGGTTCCGCAGGCGGGCACGAGCGCGCGGCCGCCCGCGAGCAAGACGCCCGTGCGCAAGCAACTAGAGGAGGCGCTGCGGCACTACGCGCGGCTGCAGCAGGAGCTGGTGCTGGAGCAGGGGGCGAGGACCAAGCAGGGCGAACAGGTCAGTGACGCACTGGTGAAGGAAGAACTTTATAGGAAGTTATGAACTTGCTGTTGCACGGGAGAGTGGAGGGCAGCTCGTCATCCTAAATGCTTAAGCGGTTGATTGATTTTCTATTCTTCACTGCTTCCAAAGCTACGTCATTTAAGGGCCACGTTTTGGTGGTCGAGTGTTTGTTGCTTTTGCGGCAGATGCACATCAAAAGGTCCGCATCGCTCGAATGAGACGTTCATTTTTGATTATCTAGAGACGACAGATACAGCCACGATTGCCAGGAATGAGTCATGATTGGCTGGCGGCTCGCAGGTGCGGGTGCTGACCCGCGAAAACGAGGAGCTGCGCCTGAAGGTGACTACTTTGGAGGGAACGATCACCGGTCTGCACGCGGTAAGCAGTTCACGAGCAATTTGTAGAAACAGATTTCGAACACATTTCGTCATCAAGTGTCATTCGTAGAATTTGGCACCGTTCTTCTTGCTCTGATTGGAGTGAAAAGAGGGGGGTGAATGAAATCGACCCTGATCGAGGACTGGGGGCCGTAGCTTAAGAAAGTGGATCCTTAGGGTCTAAGCTAGACATTGTTGACAAAGACTAAGCTGTTCATACATCTATTTTTGGATTTGCAGGGATACCAGAGCAAGTTGCTCCTCCTCGAGAACGCGTTGCAAGAGTCGGAGAGCAAGAGAAAAGAGGGTGAGGATGCCAGAACACCAGAAAAGGCAGAATACTTAAAGATGCTTTCAATCACGCTGGGAAATAGATCTGAAACTGAACACAAACATTGAAACAAAAGATTTGATGTTGTTTCCGTCTTCGATCGTTCAATCTGATCGTCTGGCGTTTCAACGATCTCGGACGCTTACACGAAGGCCATTATGACAAGTGACAGATCGTTCGAAGCCTTGGGAGTGTCTTGAGGTCCTAATTGTTAGTTAAGATTCATCTTGACAGGTGTCAGTCAGCTGTCAGAGGAGAGCGGCCTTCTGCCTGGAATTTTGACGGCACAGAGCGAGGTGAGGAAGCAGGCTCTGGCTTCAGATCGTTTATGAGAGTCCGTTTTGAGTCATATATGACCTTCCACGGCGTCCAAACGAGTTGCTGACTGAGTCGTACACGCAAAAGGCCTTCCTGAACCCGCAAGCTCTGCTTTGAACCCAGTGGCTGAACTCGCAAGCAGATAGCGTGTTTTTCGGTTTACGCAAGACGGCTGCGCTTCTAATCCCGTCATAAAACACTGCCAAGCAAGTAAGATGAAGGGCTTCTCGAGACCGTTTAGACGCTCCCCTCCTAGCTTCGCCTGCCCAGTGTTGCGTCCATTGTCTCAACTGGCTCCTTTCCGCCCAGGCCCCGGGCGGTGACGCGCCATTCCGCGCCCCGGCATCCGACGGCCCCGCGGCAAGCGACGACGCGCGCGCTCTGGAAGAGGCCCGCGCCAGGATCCAACAACTAGAGAAGGAGCTCCACGACTCGCTGCAGGTCCGCCACCTCAGCCGCCCGGCGCTCCTGCCGCAGGGGCGCTCCGACCCGCGCTGCTCGCGTTCGTTCCGGTCGTCCGCGGTTGCAAATTCTCTTCTCAAAAATCTCTCGCCGCTCCTCTTCTCAATTCTGTCTCCATGAATACTGTAAACTTGAAATCCATCCGCAGAGCAAGGTCGACGGGGAAGTCGATTCAAACAGGCATTGTTTTAAGCCGTTCATGGTCCCTCGTCCTCCATGGCCGCTCCCTCACTCGTACCTCCTCTCGCTGTTTACCCCGCAGATGGCGCTGCTCCCCCCCACGGCCCCCTTCCCCGCATGCGCGTGCCGCGTGGACCGGCTGGCGGAGGAGGAGGCGCGCTGCCTGGAGTCGGCCGCGCTCGCGCGCATCACCGCGGGGGAGTACGTGGACACGCGCTTCATCAAGAACATGACCGAGCGCGAGCAGGAGATCCTCCTCGTCGAGGCCATCAAGCAGGTGCGCGCGCAAAAACCTGCCGTTAAAGGGATTGTATTCTTGCCCGGCTTGCAATCCTTTCATAAGGATGATGTGAGTGTGGCATTGCGACCAAAGAGACCTTTCAGAACTCGCATGCCTTTCATTCGGCTCGTGCCTGTTCTTCTGTTTGCTCTCCCAGGGACTTGTTCTGACGAAGCGGCTGGCAAACAGAGGGATCAAGGAAGAAGCCGCAGCGAGTTGGTCGCTTTCGTGGAATCGGCTTCTGTGCTCCGTAAGCATGGGATTAGGGGACCCAGGTTACGTTGAGAGCGGGACCCCAGCAGTCGATGATGGGTCTCCAGCTTGGTCGCACTTTGTACTCTGTCCTGCCGATGTGAACGCCCGTGGGCGTGCTTTGCAGGAGCGGATGGCGACCGTGGTGCACATGAAGGACAAGTTCTTCGCAAGCGAGGCCAAGCGCAAGCGCGCCGAGGAGACGGTGGAGCAGTACAAGCGCCGCCTGCACGACCTCGAACAGCAGCTGCACGCGCGCACGGCGCCCGCCGCTGCGCAACAGTGATCTCATAGGAAAAGGGCCGGCCTTAGGTGCAAAGCGGAAGCTACAAGGAGAAAATGCAGAAGAGAGGTACTGTTTGGAAAGGTGTTGAGTCGACAATGGTTTGCGACGGGTAACGGGTGACAATCTTCTCATGTATCGAGACATGGTTCGTCTGCACTGCATCTGGTAGGAAGTTGAAAAGGAGGATGACCTCTCTGGTCGTCGAAGAAAGTAAATTCTGGTGGGTTGTAGGATATGATCATTTGTACGTGCCATTATCCCGAATAGGCGCACGAACTTCGGCGCGAGTCGTGAGGGATAAGACAAGGGTGAGAGCCATATCCTGAAAGTGTAGAAAGGCAAAATGTAGTCGAGCATTCAGCATTCTGGAAAAGGGGTAGAAAAGTAAGCCTTCCTTGGAGGAATGTTTACACTTGCTGACGTTCGGAATTTTTCGACACTGATCATCGATGGCCCGGGTGCATGTGGTCTTAATTAAGCACTTTTTGCTTCCGAGTTCCAAACGGCTTGACAAGCATCAAAAAGCGCGTTTAATGTCCCAGTCAATTCGAATTAACGGAAACACTTCGGTCGCGAGTTGAGTCTCCCAAAAATAAATGACTTCTTGAATTCTCGAGAAATGAGGGCACAAACGTCGAGCTAGGTGTGAGCGAACCATAAGAGTGCGTCTTTATACATGATAAACCTAGGAGTGCAGCCGGTCTTCGTGCCGAGCCCCGTAAGAGCATGGCATGAGTATGTGGAGTGCACAGTGTCTGATTCCTGATCTGAATTAAACTGGGCAAGTTGCTCGCAAGACGTTACGTGTTACCCCCTCCCTTCACTGGCAGCAGCCCTTCTCGTCGGCCGCCGCGCGAGCTAGCGCACTGATTGACCAAGTGCTAGCTCAGCTGTCGCGCCGGCTCCGCGTTGACGCGGCCGCCAAACCAGATGTCGCGGCTGGACAGGACTCACAGTCACCCGGAACTTGGGTAACAAACCTGGTTAGTGCATATTGACAACCCCGGTTAGTGCAGGTGAAGGTCCGATGCAAGCTGCCCCACTGGGCCAGAGCTGTGCAATGTGCGTCAGGGTGTGCCGCCCCATTGATCGTGCTCAAGCCTCAAGGCAGCAGGGCACAATGCTGCTCCTTCCAGCCGCTAGAGAATCGGAGGATTTAGGTAGCGCAGAGCGGTACTGGGTGGAGGGTCCAAATTTGAAAGGGCTTCAATCTGACATGAGTCTCATGCTTCACAAGAATCACTTCGCAGTCCTGAGGTAGAACCTAAAAGTGAGCTGCTTGCATACACAAGATGGCCAGCTTTCGGAAGCGGGGTGCTGTCGCCCTTGCATTGGACCCGCTGCCCTTCAAGAAGCTGCGCCACATCACAGCGGAGGGGGGTGAAGAGGCCAGCAAGTAAGCGCACCAATCAAAGGAATTTTAGAGTTGCCATTCTGGTCCTAATCATTGGCAGCTCAGTGAATCCCGCTTGTTCCTTAGACTCGGTGGACTACTGTGCCATCTGCCACGAGCAGGATGGACCTCGCTCTGCTGTTGAAGCCCTTGCTTCGGGGCCACCTGATTTCAGACTGAAAAACTTCTTAGCGGGCTTCAGGGAGACTCTGATAGACAGAACAAGGATCGGGCCTGGACCTTGATAGTCACTCCATATCGGTGTCCAGCTCCTTCCTCACCACCTCATGGAACTTTTGTGTACAGGGAGCCTACTCGCGATGAGCAGTTGGGCGCCTTGCTTGGGCGCCTCCCCTTCCAGGCCGATGGCGCCACCCTTCCTGCGGCCCTGGGGGGCGCTGCCGGCGGGGCGGCGGAGAATGCGGGACGGCAGCAGTGGATGCGCGAGCTGGGGGAGCAGCTGGCAGCCGCCCAAGAAGAGCTCAACATCATGCTGGATGTCATTCACCAGGTGGGGAGCTGCTGCATAACTATTGAAGTCGGAGCCCCTGCGGCGGCCTTGATCAGGAGCCTTGTGTGACCCAACCTAGCGTGAGCGCCACCATGCTTGGGCGCACACTGGGTCATATTTTGGGTACCGTGTGCGGAATGCAGACAAGGACACCCAGTTGAGATTTCGACTTTCTTTGCATCTTGATGAGTGCCTCAGTGGAACATTTGTCTAGGGTGTGTTGTGCCCCTACACAAGCCATGCACTTGACTTGGGCTTGGTGTAAGTTGGAAGATGGCGCTGGCCCCTGCAGGTGGAGGCCGGCACGCTGGTGACCGTGGAGAATGTGCAGCGGCCCAAGCCCACGCTGGCGGAGCACAAGGACGATGTGGCCAAAAGGGTAAGTCATTTGTCTTTGGTGTCTGTCCCCCCTAGCCCACCAGGTGCCTTTTTGTTTTTGTGGACTCTTACCACTTTGATGAGCAAGGCGCATGATCTGCGGAGACACCCTTTGTACCGTTGTCTCCCAGCCAGTCGAATCTGCTGGCAGTTTGAGTATGGATTAGAATGAAGCAGATAGATGCTACCTGCATTGGTAGCTAACGAGTTCTGGTGCTTGTCTCAGAAGGCGTTTCTTTCGGCTGCGAAAGCAGCTTGAATGCTCCTAAGTTTGTGTGTACATTCGATCCCACTCTGCCAAATCTGGCGCAAGGCCTGAACAATGGCTGGTTGGGGGTGGTGCTGCAGGTGGGGATGAAGCAGGCTGCCACGCAGAGCGCGCATGAGCGGCTACAGGCGGTGGCGCAGCGCATCAAGAGCACGGTGGACACGGACCAGGCCTTCTACGACGACCTGCGCAGGTACGCCAGGCAGATGTAATGGTGCGCTCACTTGAGAAACTCGTGGTCGAAGAGCTGAAGTATCATGCAAAGAGCTACTGGTATTGGGCGCGTTAGCCCAGTACGTAATTCTTATGCACGTTTGTCCATGTCCAAAATACTTTTCCGATATCGAAGCACACTTTCTCCCCGTAACCAGAGATGCTTTGCCCCTTCTGATGACCTTTCTGTTTCGGTCCGTACAGACTGCAAGCAGACTGGAAGGTGAAGCGCCTCGTCTCCCATGGTCGCGTGCGCTTTCTGGTGGACCTCTCCTTGCCCCCCCCCATGCGCGGCGCCCCGCCCGTCTCGAGTCGTCTCCGGAGCAGCCTCCCCGAGCGAGAGCAGGCTGCGGCGCAGGTCGAGCTGACACGTGGCAAGGACGGCCACGTGGCAGCGGTGCCAGAAGCACACCGCCCGCAGTGGGAATTTGTGGTGCAAATACATGAACAGGGGGGGCACATACAACGGGAGTCAGAGGCAACGGGGGCCAGTGAGCATGACGGACCTGATGTTGCCATGATTGACGTCAAGGAAGGTGGTGAGGCCTTCGTTGGCGAGAAGGCCGAAACCGCTGTTTCGAACCTTGGTCGGGGACGCGAGGCGGGGCCAAGTCAAGGGGCAAATATTGAGGAAGTGCATGTGAGGCTGCGGCGGCTGCAGGCGAGCCTGATTGCGGAGGGGGTGTTCGACTCTCATCTGGGCGAGGCCGTGGCGCACCCCCCCTCGGGGGCCCTGGTAGTGCGCGCCAGTACTAGTGAGCTGGAGCTCAGCCTGGCACACGGCCAGCGGCTGCGCTTGTATCTGCGGCGAACGCCGAGAGGGGGGGTCGAAGAACATGGCCGGGCAGGGGAGGGGAAAGCAGCAGAGGCACGCGCTTTCCTGATGGAGCACTTCATCGAAGTCAGGTACGGGGGCCAGAAGCGGGGCAGGTCAGGAACGGAAGAAGAAGAGAAGAAGCAACGGCGGGGGGGTGACCATGGGGGCAGTGGCAGTGCGGAGGCGGAGGGGGGCCTGGCGCGGCTGTGCCGGGCACTGCAGCAGGAGCATGCGTGGAGCATCATCCAGCGACAGGTGGAGAAAGCGGTGAGCCGCAGCCGCTCTTCTCATCGAGCCGCTGATTGAATTTAAGCAGCCTTTCATTTTTCGATTCTCACTGCCAGAGCCGCAAAAGATGTAGATGGAGGTCGAAGGCGTCACAATGGTCCTCTGTGAAGGCCCGCTCTTTGCAGGACTGCGCTTCTGGGATTCAACGGAGCAGCTCTAGGTTCGACAGTATGCTGCTAGAAAAGGAAAAGTCGAAGAAAAATGTGCTGCAAAAAGACCTTCCGGCCCTGTGTCCGTTTAGCTCGACTGCATTTCCTGCTGCAAACCCCGCTGCTCCTTGCGGAGTTCCTGGCCCCCCACCTATTCTTCATTGCTGAAAAGTCTGACCGCTTCAGAAGCCGTCAAAAGTCCGCACGAGCTTCTCGTCTTATCTGACCCCATAAGTTAGCAAGTCCGCTCGTGCCAAACCTCTTCTCGTCTCTTTCCGCGCTCTTTTTCTCACCATGTTCCCTCGTTTCCTCCCCGCCAGGTGCGCGCTATCCCTGGTGCGCACACCACGGCGTGCCTCCCTTCGCTGTTCCGGTCGCCGCCAGCGGAGTGGTGGCTGGCCGTCCACGTGGCAGGCCGGGAGGTGGTCACTGTGCTGGACGACGGGACGCGGTGCCAGATTCGCGGGCAGGGCGCGCCGCACCACGGCGACATCAACGCTGCCTACATAACGGCCTACGTCCAAGATGAGGTCAGCGCCCGCTGCATGAACCATAATCGAAATTCTGAAGCTGGGTATGTCCTTGCACAAACTGCGGCTGCTGAATCGACAACGTGCTCCACAATCTGGTTCTTTCCTAAGTCCGACATCTGTACTCCTCAGTTGTGAATCTGACAAACGGCATCCTCTGCAGAAGAAGCCTACTCTCACATTGTAGGAATCAATCTGTTTCATTTTCTCCTCGAGAATCCAAACACTGTATCTTCTGCCTTTCCGTCGACTTGTATGATCGTGACCGTCCATCTTTGCTCCATCAACAGTGTGGGCAACCCGGATTTTCACCTTGGCGTCTCTCTTCACGTTCGAGGGCAGGGGCAAATTCTCACGTCGGCGGCTGAAGGTCCCGAACTTTTAGTATCACGGGTCGGTGGAAAGGGTTGTGTGTCTCGCTTCCTTAGCGTTACCCTAGTCTGACCCTGTCCGTCATCGTCACTTGCTAAGATCGCCCGGTATCAAATCCGGCAAGTCTGCACGGCTGCCCTGGAGCGACACCTTGCGGCGGAGCTGCGCGGCCTGCTCACTGTGGTCCTGGTGGCAGCCCTCGACGACGAACACGAACGGACGGGATGGGCCTCGCTGCGGCGCGCGCTAGTACCAGAAAACGGCTCCAAAATCGATGCTGACGTCGAAAAGGCAGAGTTGTGGGTCACGGCGAGTCCCGCATCGTCCGATGGGGGGATCGGATGGCAGGTGACGTACAAAGCGCAGCGGAAGGGGTGGCGCGGCAAGAGGGAGGGGGTCAAGGGCCACGACGTGCCGCTTGAGGTCGTGAAAAAGATGGGCGGTGAGGGCAAGCTGGGGGAGTTCCTGACGTGGCTCACGGGTGTGATTTCAACAGGTCAATAACCTGCAAGCTGAAATGTACAGAGATCAAAGCATACAGAGGCTCTCCATGCCGACCAGCTCAAAAAGTCAACACAGAGCGCGCCGATATACACTGGATGTAACCAGGTCATACTACGGCAACACTGGCCTCGAGTCGGTCAATCTGCCTCTGCCACACCGGATTTAGGGCTGATGTACAATGGCTACTTTCAAATATCGGGTTGTGCCCCAGATTGACTACAGTAGTTTGGCATCCTCCCCCTCCCAATCCAGTTCAACTCAGTCCTCCCTCTACTATCATTTTATGTCGATCAGGGATTATTTTTGGTGAGTTCGGCAGATGGGGATACCCGCACTGTTCTCTTTCATTCGAGGCCCTTATACGGACACATCTTAAAGAAGATACGGCGAACTCGTAAGTTCAAGGGGCGAATGGTTGGCCCAAACCTCACGAGTTCTACACAAAAACGTTCTTCTGGGACAGATGGGGCCATCATATGTCGTCTGGCGTCCACACTTCTCGACAGGTTCCAGGAGGTCTGTCTGAATTTCGAGTGGCATCTTATCACAATTCTAGATTGGCACGATATCTGGTTTAGCGTGCAATGAGTAGTCCCCTGTCTTGTGTGCCACGTTGGCCGTTCTTATGGCATGACCCTCCAGTTCGAAGCTAGCAGCGTAGCCGGGCTAGTCGTGCATGGCGGCAAAGCGTTCATCAGGCTTTAAGCTTGTTCTCGATCAGGCTCATGCATGATGGATCAGGCGCCTCGATCGTCCATCTCATACATATGAACATCTAATCAATGGCCCTGTTGAACGGGCAGTGCTCACGAAGGCATGCGCCCGGCCATGATATTGATCGATGAGAGCGAATGAGAGGATACATAATTCGGTATGCATAGCATGTAGATGTAGAGCATTTTGCAAGACGCGGTTGCTTCAATCAATTAACTAATATTAAGCATCGTGCAACAAACATTCGGGCCTACAAGGTCTTTTCGAGTATCCCGCCCAAGCGAGTAAACACCGTACTGCATCGATCATGACAAAAGCTCCGCGCTCGGGATGGATGCATAATCATGCATGCGGCGATCCGACGCGACCGTCCGTTGCACTGGCATTGATCTGGAGCAACTTCTTGCATGTCCAGCAGCGGCGGAACCAACTTGAAAGCTGGTTCGCAGCGTGTTTGTTCCGCGACTGGCAGTCACTGGTTCTGCTTCAAAATTAGCAGCCTTGCATGATCAGAGTCGACTGATGGGAGATCTCGCGACGAGTATTGTATAGGATGTTTCCAGAAAGAGAACTAGGGGGCTGCTCGGAACTCTGCTATTGTACAGCAATTTGAGGGTGCTTGCTGCCTACGTTGGCCTATGATATTGACACTGGAACACATCGCAGCTTGTGTTGATTGTGTACGTAGCATAAGAACCTCGAACGGTTATCATTCTGCAGCAATGCAACGGCCGAAGCGGTGAATGCATAATCTGAGCAGGCTTTGATTCCTTTGCAAGCCTTGCTTCGAGCGTCTCAATCAATTGCTTCAAGCTTGTGGCATGCCGAATCTTTTTTTGTTCGTTGCAAGAGAGTGCCTGGATAGTTGCCGGCACGCTCTTTTATGCGGACTGGCTCGCTTTCCTCGATTCCCCGGCGCTGGCCGCGCCACACGAAGCAGCTTCAGAGTCACAAATTGTAGACGAGCTCAGTGCCTTGCGACGCCGGAAAGCTTGCGAAAGTTAAGCTGATTGCCAACGTCACAACCTTTCGGCTCGCTCGCGCACGATTGGAAGGTTCGCTGTTGCGTGCGGGTGTCACCCGCTCTTCGTCTCGTGCGGTTTGCAGGGCCTCAGGAAACTCAAGCAGGATCCTTCAATCATGATGCGGACATGCAAGGCTGTAGTGGGTTTCGGGGGAGGATGCTGACTCGGCAGCTCCTTCACGTGCGTGTCAACATATGCCTACCAGTTCTTTGATGCTAATACAACCCAATTGACGAAGCGGCACTTCCACTGCCGTCATGCTATCATCTAGACATCCACTAGCTTGCCCGTTTCGTTCTGCCGCAGTCTTTTGGGTATTGACAAATCTCTGTAACGCCTGCATCGACTGAAAGCTGCTGCAGTTGCAAGCAGTTTTGCTTGCCGCCATTGGCGTGCCCTGCATTTTGGGTACTTTGAAAGTCCGAAAGTTGCAGGTCTGACGTGCTCCCTACGACCCATGAGAATCTGAAGTACCCAGGTCGGACTCTTCTCCTCACCAAACAAATCCGCTTCTCATGTGGCAGTCTCAGCTTCGAAGATCTTTCCAGACTCCTTTTCCTACGAGCAGCCATTCTACGAGCAGGCCGATTGCAAAGCGGATTCAGAAAGCCAGATCCGCTCGCCCTTCAAAACCCTGTGACCTCCGTCCATCTCATTGAATCCAGGTTAAGTCTTCCTTCCAACGTCCCAGAAGTCCTCTGCTTACCGACCATCAACTTTCCCAGAAGTTTTGGAGCAAGCAGCATGGCTGGCCCTAGCTGCGTGACATTGTGCATGCAGCCTTTGGCGCGCTGATCTTCCTGGTACTTCTCACGAGAGGCGAGGTAGGCACTGGCTTCTCTTGATCTACCGATAAACTCATCGTGCATTTCCATCCCTTTCCCTAGATTGAATGTAGTATATGTATTCTTCCGCCTTGGATTGAATCTGGCTGTTTCGTAAAGAGCTTCTTTCTTCGTAAAACGGAGTACTCCCATGCACCTGGCTGGATGTCAACGCAGTTCAAGTAGAGAGTTGTTTCTTCGCTCGCTCCTGAAACAGGCTTGCTGGAAACTGCTTGACTATGGCATTAGCTGCTCTGATGCCTCAATCTTTTGTGCTTAAATCATCTGCGCTTTCCTTGCCAGGTCACCGCTCGTCCTCTCAGTTCTTTGATCCCGAATGCGCACTTCTTGAGAAGGCAGGTGCTGCAAGCCGCTGATCTAGAACGTGAGGAACTCAGACCCAGTGATTCCAGCCTGTTTTCTGCGGCATTTTTGTCTTAGTGCAAGTGCTACAATTGCCTCTGTCCATTATTTCTGTCCTTAGATCTGGATGCTGAACCATGCTTTAGAATTTTGAATGGTTTTTAGGGTACCACCAAATTCTTGCAGAGATTGAATTGAGATGTCATCTTCATTAATTTCTGGTGAGACCTTTTGCTCGGCTTCTGGTTATACCAGTCTATCTATTCTTTGTTACAGAGAACTGGGACCCAACCTGATCCAGAATGGAGATTTCGAGAACCCTGGAAATGTCCGTGACTATTCGAAGAACACCCCAACTGACCTTCACTACAAGGTTTGCGCGCCTGGTCCATAATTGCTTTTCACTTATCCTGAGAAATCGGATGCACGTGGATTGAGCATAGTTTTGAATCTTATCATTTGCAGATGACCCTGTATATGCTTACTCAAGTCTTCCAAAAGCTGTACAAACCGAAACTAGATCAGATCATGTTGAGAAGCATAAGTGATGAAAATTCAGGACCCTACTGACATGCTTCTGACAGTACCTTGTGCTTTATCTCCTCCAGATCTGGTCAGCAGCAACTGCACCTACTGCTATTCCTGGCTGGACCGTCGAGAATGGCACAGCGGAGTTGGACGACTCGCAACTCGTGTGGGCTCAGCCAAATGGGTCACACTGGAACCTCGATATCTCAGGTGAGAAAGCTGTGAGCTTCTCTTTGCCACGTAGGCAGAAATGATGTGTAGCTGGACTTCGTTGGGAAAGGCAAATTCATACTCAAATCATACTGGGTTTCTATTCGAGCGTGTCCATGACATGCTGGATACCTCTTCCGAGAAAACGAACAGACCTACTTAAAACTTCCACATGGTCTCAGTACAGTACCTAAACAGTGTCTGACTGTTGCAACCGTCGACCTGCAAGCGATGGACCTGGAGGCATTTGCCAGGTGGGACACCTTGCTGAACTCCTAAAAATAGTCTGGTCTGGATGCTCTTCATTGCACAGAAGAGGAAAGCAAAAGCTTGTGTTGACAAGAGGACGTCAGTGGCGTATATTTCCGAAGCACCGTAGAAGTGTTCCATCAACGTAAGGGTGTCCAAAAACTGCAACCTGTACCCTCAAAAATCATTATGTAGCCTTGCGGAAGCGTCGGTCAAAGCATTCTTCTGGGCTGACCCGTCTTCTGACCTGCCTGCAGACTTTCAACACCACCGCCGGACAAGTGTACCAGGGCTCCTTCCTACTGGCAGGTGAGAGAGGCCATCTGCGTAACTTTCTCGTCTTGTTTGAAAGTGCTTGCTGCATATGCTCCAAAAGAAGAGAGGTCGCGAGGCTACCATTAGGGCACCAGGAATTGCCTCATTTTCTAAGCCAGCTGCGCTTCAACGTATCCTTACTGTGACCTTCTTCTTCTCTTCTCCTTGTTTTTCTTTTCTTTCTCTATTTCTTTGTTTCTCGACGTTTCTTTCGCAATGGTCCTTGCACCCTATCCGCTTCTCTCCTCTCTTCTATACTGACTGTTCGTCCTCGGTGCAGGCAACGTGTACGGCCCGCCCCTGCTCAAGACGGTGGATGTGAACGTGTCCGGCGGCGGCTCCTTTCTGTTCGCCAACAGCTACACGTTCGACATCGCGGGCAAGACGCGCAACGCCATGGGCTACGTCAGCAAGACCTTCACCTTCACCGGCGGCGCCGGCAACTCATCGCAGCTCTGCTTCGCCTCCAAGGATCCGGCCACCACCTCCTGCGGAGCGGTGCTCGACAACATCGTCGTTGCAGCAGGTGGGCTCCCGCAAAGGTCCCCCCCTTCCGTCGGACTTCTCTCTAGTAGTCTCGGAAACGGACGTCACCAACATCATTGCCAATTTCTTAAGTCGCTCCAAACTGACTGCTTCCAAATTCCGTCATTGTTGATTTGATCTGCCGTTCAGAATTTCCTCGTTTATCCCTCGTCAGAATCTCGATCTGACTCCTCACTTTAATCATTTTTGAAAGGTCTGCTGTCAAGAGTCAAATCTTGAACCCTTTCTCTTTGCTCAGAACGGTCTAGCTTAAGAAGGACGTGAGGCTGCCTGTCGGATCGCCTACGTGAACAATCAAATCCGTTTCCTCTCGCAGTGTTGCCGCCTGCTCCGGCCCCTGCTCCCGTGCCCGGCCCCGCCCCAGCTCCCCTCGTCGCGCCTGCACAGCCTCCAATCGTGGTTCCCGCGCCGCCGCTCGTCGCGCCCGCGCCTCCTCTGGTCGTGCCATCCCCTCCCGCTGTCGTCATCCTGCCACCGCCCAGCTATCCGGGGCAGCCAACGGGCTACGGAGCGCAGCCCGGGGGCAATGGTGGCGAGCCTACAGGGTACGGAGGACAGCCAACCGGTTATGGTTCCCAGCCCGCCCAACCGACAGGTTATGGAGCCCAGCCCGGCCAGCCCACTGGTTACGGACAGCCATAGAAGTTGACAAATGGCAAGGTGTAGTCGGATATTATTATTCAAAGCAGGTGCAGCCGATATCAGATGAACTGAAGATAGACAATTGAGAGTTGATACGAGAACATTTGTTGTTGTTAGGAGCTGTCTCGCGTCTGACGTTGCTCCAGCTAGTGGTTTGAGAGGTCTATCAAGTTCACGAGTTGACAATCCTAAGGAGCACGACCATGTACAGACGGTTTCATAAAGTTCGAGTCCGGTCGTAAGAAGTGGGACGTACGAAAATAGAACTCTTTGTGGGCGGTTTAACGAATCATCACTTCGAGTCCAAGTGAATTGGTCCGGTCTTGTTCGAGCAGATCCGATGAAACGTTCTCCCCTTGTTTTTTGTGCAAACGCTCATGAGAAGGTTGATATGATCCCCGACTGTCATGCACTGCATATGCTTAATTGACTTAGCGACCCGCTCGAGCGCTTCGCATTGTAAGGAGGAGTTCAGTCTGCCAGGCGAAGAACCCGGACATGATTGACCATATTTGGGTTGGTCTCTTGTTTGATTAGTGATACACTCGATCATCGAGTGTATCGCAGATCTGAAAGGATTACTTTCAACTATAAGCGCGAGGGCGCGATCGGACCATCCGCAATCATGAACATTGCAGGTAAAATTGTTGAAACTACTAGGTCGGTTGAACGTTTCAAAAGCAAGCTCATGGCACGCAAAGTTGATCATTTCTTCCCGCATCATTCAAGTTGATTCTAAAGATCAGTGGCCGTCATATCTGATATATGAATATCCACGACTCTTGCAGTACGTACAGCTCTGAGTCTAGGCTGTACTATAGATAACGGCTGCAACGTCACATGCCACTGGACCCGATTCCATACTAGCTAGCATCCATGTGCGGCTAGCTCATGCACATGATGGGCCAGTCACCCGGACCATGGGCGGGGAACGATCAGTAGATCGCAATGGTGCGGGATTTATATTGCAATACTGCCAGGTCCCGGTACAAATAAAGAGCGACATGGATCAATATGGGTATCGATCAATGTGTCGATAATACTACTCTAGGTATAAGTATGAGTACCGGGCCTGCCAGTGCAGATCCCATCTGATCATCTTGAAGCGATTGTACTATTTATTCAACAACCCTTTGAACTGGTTGGATCGTGCTAGTGCGGCGGGCTCAACAACTGCGAGGCGACTTGCTGGGCCTGAGCGGCCCGCCACCCTTATCAGACAAGACAGTCAGCCCTCAGAGGTCCGGTCAACATGCAAAACTTCAACCGTTTTTGACAAAGACAGTACGTTTGTCTGTTTGACCGGGATCGTGGAGTTTGTCGTACGTCTGATCGTCTGAAGTTAGCACCTGAGAGAATTAACCAGTCGGTCTCCGAGTGTCCTGCTTCAGCAATCTCGACCTGTCGGGAGTTGGTGCATTTCAATGCATTCATATGCAGTCTACGTTCGATCAACGCGTTCTGCGGCTGCCATTCGGCCGCCTTTTAATTGCTCAAAATATCTCGTGCCGCCGGACTGGGCCGCTCGAGAATGCGTGCAATTGTCTCCAATGTTTGTCCACCGTGCCTACTCCTGCGCCTTGGGCCTGGAGGGGAGTCCCCCCTTAAACAGCTGCTCCACCTCGTAAGCACGCATGTTGAGCCGGTTGAGCAGCTTCTTCTCATCCTTGTCCAGCGTTTTCAGCAGGAACGCCTCCTCCTCCTCGATGATCTTTTCCAGCTCCATCTCCTCGTTCTGCAGCGACTGCCACAGGTTGTCCAGCCCCATCTTGGCCTGCGTCGCCAGCCGGTACACCAGCGGCTGCTGTGGGCCGCACGTGTTGTCCGTCATCTTGAACTGGCTGCACGCGCACCAACACCCGCAGGCAAAAGGTCAGCACCGCCGGCTGACCGCACTTTCTCCGGCTGACGTCATGCACCAGATCGATCCCGGCGACCGAAGTTTCTCGAGGCTCGAGGAGGTCCTTGTATCGTAAGACCGCAAATCACTGGGGTTTGACAACAATCCAGCAACAATCTGTTCCGGCATATCAGGGCCTGTGAATCACATCACAAATTGACAAGAGTTGGAAAAGCCCAAGTTCGACAGACGAGATCAAAGCTTTCGAAGCGTTCAACACCGCGCAAGGACTGCCTCTCGTACCTGTAATCGAGGCCGACTCTTTTTGCCGCCTCCTTGATCTCCGGCAAGACGTTGTCCGGTATCGTCTTGGCGCGCGTGTACACGACCGCGCCTCCATAGCCCGTCCAGGCGTCGTTGCGGCCGCGGTAGTACACAAATACGTAGTCGTCGGGGCCGCCCTCAATCTTGCTCGACACAATGTACCTGTGTGCACCGGAGGGGCAGAGCAAAGTGAGCGGCCGGTTACAAACGAGGGCTTTTTACTGCAGCAGGGGACTGCTCATTGCGCATGTACTTGCACATAACCTGGGGTCTCACTTACTGGTGCTTTTATCGGACGATGTTTCAGCTTTGTGCATCCGGAATAGCAAATGCTTTCACCTCAATAGAGATTGATTCCTTGATTCGACTCCTTCTCTTTCATTTGGGCGATGGCTTTTCTTTTACCTTCTCTTCCAGATCAGAGCGGGGTCTGAGGAGAGCTGCTTAGCTTTCTACAGAGAATGAGGCGGGCTGCACCGGTCATCCAATTAGTCTCATTGAGGAACACTTCTTCGGCCCAGACGCCCTCACCAGTCGTCCTCGTAGTGCAGGAACTCGTTGCCGTGGTTGTACAGTATGCCCGGGCGCTGCGGGTCCTGCTTGAAGTTCTGCACCGCGGAGCGCGTGAAGAAGCCGCCGTCAGGCGTGTTGATGCGCCACGTCAGGTTCCCCGTCACCTGCTGCGGTGCGGGCGCCTCAAAGTTGTGCAGCTGGCAGTCGAACGTGTCGAAGATCCGGTTCAGCCCCGCGCTGATGTACCACTCGCCCGTGAACTTGGACGTGTCGAACTCGGGGACGAGCGCATCCGGCTTGGGCTCCTGCACAAAACGAAAATGGTCGGTAAGCCTTGAGGCGGCGCTCGAGCAGGTAACAGCCAAGGAAAGCTACCGTTGTTTGCATCGACACTTGGCACCCAGATTTTGATGTGGGTTCTTGATGTCAGCCAAGCAAGCCCCCCCGGAACACTGATTGTGTTGAGACCGGTAGACCGTAAGAGCAACCCTGGGGCTCGGGAACAAATCGACTTTGCACTGCTAACTGACACCCGGGCTTAAGTTCTTGTGGCATCTGCGGAAGCCAGTTCAGCCGTTCTTATCGAGGGAGAATGCCTATTGACAGTCAGGAACCAACGTCGGGGATGAGGACAAACATTCAATCAAGAAACTGCTGTTGGCACCCGAGCTAGACACACCACCAAATACATGGATACCAATCGCCCCAGGGAGGACTAGAACGTGAAAATGAACTTCTCACTGTACAGGAAATTACCCCTATAAACGTGAGTGACAAGCTCAAGAGAATTGTGAATAGAAGCGAAGGCCTTAGGAGACTTAACTTGGGCAGCACCTACTTAGTGGTCATGGAAAAATATGAAACAGAGGTCAGGCCTCCACAACAGAGCTGCCCAATGAAACACGATAGCTGCAAACCTCCGGAGAGATGAGGTGTACAACACTTTGAAAACCCTCCTCAAAAAGTACATGGAGTCTCTGAGTCTGATATGACGCTCAGATTCTGAAACCCTGCCTTGTCAGGAGACGGCGCTGTTTCCTCTCTGGTCCAATCAAATCCTTAAAATGGAGGTTATATGTAGAGAATCGAGTGGGGCAGGCAGTGGAGAGGCACGTGACAAGAGCCCGTACCGGGAACTTGCCCTCGTCCTGCTTCTGGGGCACACACCCCTTCTCTGAAACAGCACACTTGTTGAAGTTGTCTACCACACTGTTCTGGAAAAGATCTCCGCATTGAATCTGCACACAAGAAGCAGGCATAGAGTTGAAGTTGACCATCTCAATGTGTGTCAAAGTTCAAGAGTAAGGCATGTCAACATCATTCTTTCGATCTTGCTCCTCGAAATTGGCACTAAACAGAGGCATTTAGGGGATAGTTGAACGTTGTCTTGCTTTCCAAGTTCCAAGCATCCCTTACAAACAAATTGCAGAGCAATCTTTGAAGGCATGCACAAATTGCAAGTAACATAGCAAAACAGGCTGAATAAAGGTTTGGGTCAAAGCTTGTGTGCATTTCTGATGCAAATGACTTCAGGAAAGAGTTAGCCAAGCCCACAAGTCCCAAATTCAGAGGGTCGCAGCATTGTGCAGAATGTCACATCAGCAGGCAGCTGATTTACCCACATAGTTAACTGATATACGCTGGCGCACATCTTTGCTGCTGCACCTCGGTTCTTACCTGGCACTCGGTCTCATCCGGCCTGCCATTGCATGTGTTCAGGCATGCAATGTTGGCTGCACACGAGGGGTTCTCCAGGCACTCCGCGAGTTGAGCGCTGCAAACAGCAGAGAAGTCTGAATGTGACCAATCTTCTGCAGCGATGGAGCTGGTGGTAGTGACCAAAGCACTGAGAGGATAATATCAGGGCATCTCTGAAAGGCCACCTTGCTCTGCACTGATTTGACATTGTAGAGGCGAGCCATCATGTTTGCAGAATCTCTGCCAAAGCACCTTGTGCGAATCTGCGGCCATGATGTGTTGGCAGGGGGTGTCAACTTGGAAAGAGCAACGCTTTTCGTTCGTTTGTCTCGTATAAGAAATTGTCACCAAATGAATGCAAGCACAGCCGTCGCAAAGCAGCTGCCTCACGCGCAATTCTGCAGCAGGCATTGGCAGGTCTTGAGCGCGTCCGCAGCGGAGGCAGAGGGCACAGCTCCCCCGAGTAGTGTGACCGCCACCCCCGCAGCCAGCATTGGCACCACGACCCGCTTCTGCATGCTGCGCCAAAATGGAGCAGCCGACGCGCCGTTTGCTTCTTCAGAAGGTCCAACCGGGGGAGCCCTCACATGGGGCCGCTCCTGCTTTTGTGAAGCAGAAGCTACCGTGCATCCCAACGGTCTAGAGGAGGATAACCGTTTGGATTTCCGCAGCGCGTTCCTCGACTTTGGTCCCACGAGTGGGGCAAATAGTCCATGCTTCTGCAGCGCACCGTCAAGAGGTAAGCTGGCCGCAGGCGACTGCCTCGAAGAATCTCGCCGGAGCGCAGTGCCTGCAAAGGGCGCCACAGCGCCCACCACAGGGGAACACACAGCGCTCGGCATTATTTTAATTTGCTCTTAGATTGTGGAGGATGTAGCTTTGGAATTGATTGCCAAGCTTGTCGGGAGAGCACTTGCAGAGTACAGCGCTTGCAAAGGTATTATGACATTGACAATGTCTATCCAAGATTCAGAAGAATGCAATGCAGCTTTCTTCAAGCTTGCAAAGTTGAAGTACCGTAGGTACCCCAACGTACGTAACTTCAAGACCACCCGCGAGTTGCAAAAATCTGCACTTTCCACGTCACCCAGCTTCAGAAAGCAAAAGCGTCTTGGAGGATATTCGCACGTCTAAACCTTGAGGGCCCGTTGAGATTGAGAAGCAAAAAACCCAGCAAGTGAGAACACGCCCAAATATCCTAGAAAGGGAAGTTGGTACATACGGTATGAATTCACTGCAACTTCAAGCTGCAGCAACCCTGATTCAAGAGATCCGCCATATTGGCCAATGCCTCGTCCTGGGGCACGTCCGGGGTGAACTGCACTGGGCTCCAATGCCGCGCACGTGATGGCCTCCTCTCTGCAGGCTTGCATTCACGCCGCTCTCTTGAGCCGGGCTTTGTCCCCGTCCTTTGCGCCCCGCCAGGGCCGTAGTCCACATCTGTGTCCCCTCGAGTTGCAGGTGCCTGCTTCAACGCACGTCGTTATTTGCGCCCAGTCCAATCACTCTGCCGGGGCAAAAAGCACAGGGAATAGAGCAGCGCCTGGTGGGAAGTTCCAGCGATCAGCCGCGGCGAGGAAAGCAAAAGAAGGTGAGGGGCAGAAGCGCCCGGGTTTGTTGCATTGCAGTTGGAGAGCACTTTTACTGGCATCCATGTGTTTGGCAAGACTTTTCTCTCCTGATAGTTGCTTCATCATTGAATAAGACCACTGCCTTTGCAGAATGTGGACAGAAACTATGGACAACAAGAAACTTCATCGCCCATTGCTGAGAATCAAGACCTGCAATGCTGCCCAGTCTCATCCTTCCTCTCTTGATGCAGGTGAAACTCCTTCCACCAGGGGCCAACCGCAACCGCCAAAGCCCGCTGCTGACAGTGCTCCCCACGAGTACCACCATGATGTGTCGCTCACTGTCCCAGCGCCTCTAAAGCAAGTGTGGGAGCTGTGGACAGACCTTGAGAGTGCTCCAAAATGGTGAGGCACGGGATGGCTGCTCTGAAGCAGAGGGTAAAGTGCTTCGATGGGAGATACAGAATTGCTGAAGCTCCACAGAGTGCCCACGTTAGTCAAAGGACCACTTCGTATGTGAAAAGGATATGCCTTCAACGCAGAGAAAAGCGCCCGGAGTTATAGCATTATCTACGAAGCTCCACCAAATTTTCTAATCGAATCACGAGAAGTGTGCCCCCAATCTTGATCTTCTCCCCCTCTCCCAGGATGCCCTGGATCACTGCAGTAGAGCTCTCCTCCGATGAAGGGGCGCCAGCCCGGCCGGAGGCGGCGCAGCTGCGGGGCGGGGCGGCTCTGCACGCACGGCCACTGTCCAAGTGGATCTGCAGCACGTCAGGCTTCCAGGTATGCAAAGTCATGCTCTTGTTGGTTTGCCGCCCCTCTTTGACTCAAGGAGAATGAATCCTCAGTCCACCTCCAGCTCTCAGTGAAGTGTAAGGGTTGTTTGTTTGCTGTTTACAATTTATTCTTCTGCCTCTTAGCCTGATGTAAAAAAATGTCCGATCTCGACAAGTCAATTACTCATGCAATTACACTTTTGATAGGTCGAGATGGACATCCTGCAGATCCCTAAAACAGGAACAGTGAGAGTCTGCAACGCTCCCTAGCCGACACCTTCTCATTTGTGGCGCTTCTGGTGCAGATAGCCTGGACTGCGCGGGTGACTAATGTGACGGAAGAACTGCAAGCGGTGGCACCCCACTGTGCACTCGAGTGGGCCACCACCGAGGGTCTACAGAGCAGCGGGCGTGTCACCTTCATGCCAGCACAGCCAGGGGACGATGGCAGGGACAGCACCAGCATCGAACTCAAGGTGCGCATTGCTGCTTGACGTTTTCACGTTTTAAATCCAGAAACATCATGAGTTCTCTCCTCTAGAACTGGCAAAGATTGAATTGGGAGAGAGATTGAGGTGGAAATGTTGCAACTGAGCTGCAGTGAAAAGTGAGTCTGTAAGACATCTTTCATCTCAGGTACCTAACAATACAGTATAGTATTTTGAGTGGATACTCTTGTAAAAGAAGAATACTCTCCGACACGTCTCTGTCACTCCAGATTGTGCACACTCTCCCGCCGGCCCTGGCGCGCGTGATGGACGGGAGCGCTCTGGGGGGGCTCATCCGAGCAACGCTGCGGAGCGACCTCGAACGATTTCAGCAGGTGAAGGCCGCACCAACCTCGCTGGCATATTTTCATTGAACCAGTGATGCGAGCGGACTGAATCGTGTATAACTGGATTTCCAAGGCTCTGCTTAAGCTTGTCTTCCCAACATAGGCTCCTGGCCTGCTTTGCGGCATGCTTGGAGGACCCATGCGCCAGGAGAAAAGTACATCATACCGCTCGCTCTTACTCTTTCATTCTTCATGGCATGGAGCTTTGCGTTCATTTTCGCCGTTCGCAACCAGGTGGATTGCCCCCGTACCACGACTTCATGGTGACTCGCGAAGAAACTCGAACTGACAAGCGCGCTGACCCTAGCCTTCACCTCCGTGCAGTACGTTATCAAAAGCGCCTCGGGAGCAGCCACGGCCTCCAGACATTCACAGCCCGCACAACAAGACCACGGTTAGCAAAGGTCCCAGTCTCTTAGCGTGTGATGTCATGAGCAAGAGTTTTTGTCATGGACATGTTGCCAGTCTGAACGGTCTAAACGGATGTCGTGAAAAAGTGATCTGCTGCTACACGCCAAATGAGTCATCCGCGCACACTTACACCACGCCAAGTCGAACGGGTGTGTTTAAACATGTGCAAGTGGACTTTCGAGGTCTTCCACTGGACCTTGATACCGATGCAATCCGACGCGAACTTGCGAGGCGCATGGTACGCCAGTCTTGACAAGGTGCGGCGAAGGAAACAATCCCACATGCACGTGCAGCTTGTCACTGTGTGTGGGCGGGCCGATCGATTGAGCTTCTGAGATGGATGCAATGGTGCCTAGATCGGCTGGTGCACACGTGGCCGCACCATTGATATATCATACTTAAATTGTACATTGATTATACAAATGCCGCGGAATCCATACATGCATGCGGCGGTGCCCGTCATGCGGATGCCAGAGGGCGCAATGATGCCCTGAGCCCGGCACATTGCACTTGCAGAATCCAGCCACCTGAATCATATTCATATATGAGATGTGTGTCCGTCGCGCAGGCCTCAGAACTTGAAAACGGCTACGTCATCATGCCCACAAGCAGGCCGTCCTTCCATCATGAAACTTCACAACCGATGCCATGTCTTGCTGGAGGCCCTGCATTCAGTAACTGCGGAGACACTGACGCAGAAAAAATCCTCCGTGCCAGAGTTGAAGCGATTGAGGAAAGACGTGCATCTCAGAGACGCAAGACGCCGGGCCTCCCCGTCTTCTCCACAACACCGAATTACATGACAGCATTGCGTACGCTCTTTAGGACCTACATGTTTGAACACATTGTAACCCTCGCTTCCGCTGCGGCGCGGCTGTCTACCCAACAATCTCTTCCGTGACGGCGATGACCTCCTCCACCTCGACCTCCTCGTACTCGTAGTCCTCCTCGTCGTCGCTCTCGTCGCCGTCGCGCAGCGACCGCCGCAGCTCGCGCTCCTCCTCGTAAAACTTGTGCCAGTGCTCCTGCACAATTGCAGCGGACGGGCGAATCAGCGGCAATCCATGTACGACACGCAAAGGAGCGCAACTTCGAATCTCACATGCTTCCCAGTATTCAAACAAAGCACTGGACCTTTGAGGTCGATATGCCAAAACTTCGACTCTCACTCGTTCCAGTAAACCTCTCCCCTAATGTCTAAACTCCAAAGATCACCACCGACTCCCGAAGCGTGTCGAAGGTAATTGAAAATGCACTATAAAGTCTCAGTACAGGACTTGAGGAAACCAAACATCGTTGCGGCCGTCTGCACCTGCACACGTAAAAGAACAACTCCGATAGCCATTGACAAGACGACATTCGTTTTTCAGGGCCGAGATTTCGTGCAAATAAACGATGGTGGCAGCCCTCACTTGTCGCGCCTTGAACTCGTCCATGAGCTGGCGCCGCTTTTCTAGTAGCTCCTTGTTCTGGCCCTGCTCCGCGGCCTCGTCCTCCTCCAGGTACTTCTTGCTTAGGTCCTTCAAGTTCTTCAAAATCTCCGCCTCCGTCGATGCGTCCAGCAGGCTCGCTGGCCGGGGCCGCCACAAAAACTGCAACGTGCCAGGGTGGGGTGGATTTCCAGGTCGTTTCTGGGTCTACTCAAACGAAAGCGCTGAATTCACCGCAGCCAAGAGACACAGGCGGTAAAAAGAACGAGCGGTATCAGACAACCCGCTCGGAGTTGCTGTTTTCCAACCCGAAAGCGCACCCCGTTGAATTGGACGCCGTCATCGACAACCCACCAAGTGTTTGTGAAAGCCGCCCCTTTCAGACCTAAGCTTGAACTTGAATCGAACGGATCAGAATTCCTCTGTCGAACGCGAAGGTTTTCAGTGGGCTACCAAGCAAGCCGGCCAAAAAAGCCTCCCAGTCCAGCAACGTTCTCCACGCTCCCTCAGCCGGAGAGCGACGTCAGAGGGCAGGCGGTGCGACTGCTGACCTGGAAGAAGCGGTCGCGGGTGACGCGGTAGAGGAGCTTCCCCTGGAAGGACCACACCTGGAACCCGTTCTCCATCGGCTGCACCGCTGTCACGCTCGTCGCCACGAACCTGTGCCACCACCCAGCACAGAAAACAATCAGACTAAAGTCGTGGCTTTTGAAGGCTGCTGCATGTAAGCTGAGTAAGCAGCAACAGTCCGCTGAGTGTCGGAAACGGGAGGACAGCATCTCGTGGGTGCTGTTCTAGCCAAGATTTAACACAAACCTCTTGCCTGACTTCAAATCATCTCCTATTGCACATCAAAACCGGCACTCCTCAAAACGTTTGACCTTCTAGAGTACGCATGCGCAGACCCTATGTGGCAGAAGTGCGACTCGCTGTCTCCACTTCCTCTCATCCATCTTAAACCAGCTCAGAATGTTCCCCGATCATCAGCGCCAAGAGATCGATTGCAGAACAGAGAGCAGGCGTGGCTGGCTGCTGCGCTGACCTGCCGGTGGGGTCCCAGTCGACGTCGGTGGCCATGTAGTGCTCGCCGGTGGCCATGGTCTCCAGCTCGTCCACGTTGAAGAACTCGAGCTGACCGTTGATGGCCTTCAGCCCCGCCAGCACGATGAACTTGCCCTGCGCACACCACCAGCAACCAGAGGCTCAGCCTCGCGCTCACCTTTGGAGTCCGAAAAACGATTGAGCGCAGAGCCTCAATCCCAGGGTAAGCAGAGAGCTTAGGCAGGGAATTTGAGATTTCCGTCAAGTATGTACTTGCTGTGCTCGTCAGTCTTGCTGGACGCGGATTCTAGCCAGATTGCCTCTTTTGGCAGACGTCTCCATGCAAATTTTAGTTTGTACCTTCAATCCGTAGCGCCAGATCTTGGCACATGGGACAGTTCTGTTGGAGAAGACGCCTCGCGAAAGCAAGCTAGTCCCGACAATGCCTACTTACTCTACACTGCCTTCAAAAAGATCGACGGCCTTAACAAAGTCACTCCAATACGACTTGGGAGCTCACGTCCAGACTCGGACAGAGAGATAGCTTTCCTCTTCAAGCGCAGCCGCCCTTGAACGAACACGTTCCGCGGCGCTTACCTGCGGCGACCAGTAGAGCGCGTTGGCCTGCTTGGCCTTGAGCGTGGTGAGCAGCGTCAGCTTGTCCTGCCCCGTCTTGGACTTCATGCTGTAGAAGCTGACGTCAGGGCGGGGGCCCTCCCCGTGGATCAGCGCAAAGCGGTGCCCCTTGGGCTCCCACGCGAAGGCAACCACCTTCTCGTTCTTGTTCTCAATCTCCAGAACCTGCGCCGACCAAAGCATAGTGTCAGCACTGTCACAAGTCCCACCTCCTCTGTGCTTCGAAATCTCGCTTAAACTTTACACGAACCAAGTCAAACGAAACAATCGACTGTTGCAAGCAAAGAGACAGGATCTTTGAAACCCAGGCTGTCGAAAGAATACAAGTGAGAGGGCCACGCTGTATCAAGAAGAAGAGTGATAAAGGAGGCGAAACGTTTGGCGGAGGGCCAACGCATTTTTTTTTTTTGGACAGACCTCAAGCATGCAACAATTGCTCCTTCTGCCTCGAAAGCTCCTTTCAGGACATCCAGATACTAATAGCATCAGACTTAATCATCTGACTGCCCAGCACGAGGTTCAGAAACACATGACAAAATCCTGGCGGCCAACACTGGGCGTTACCTCGATGGGGATGTCCCGCTCCTTGATGCGGAACAGCTCGAAGCCGGGGTAGGTGCTCTTCTTGGTCTTGGTGTAGCGGTCCACCTTGACGGCCAGATACTCGCCCGCGGGGTGCCAGTACATCTTGCACTCGCTCACACTGCAAACACGCAAGCCTCCGCCACGTCAGATCTGCGGTGCTGTAAAGCAACTAGGCTCCTCACGGCCTATCACAGTAGCTCGTGGGTCTATTGACAGATATAGGTAAGGTGGGTGTCCGGGGGTCAGACTTGCCGCTCAAAAAGACAAACAACTCGGAGAATTTGTCTCGCAAGTGGCTGCGCTTAAGAGACACCAAAGCCTGAGACCCGGCGTACTGCCGAGCCCACAATCAAGGCCGCATAAATGAAATTATGTAGAGCGAAAAAGAGATTCACGCACGGACGGCTCGAACGCCCTTGTAAGTACCAAAAACAAGACGACAATGACAAGCAGTCATCTAACGGCTGACCTGAAGAGGTTCTTTTGGCGCAGTTCAACACGGGAGGGAATGGCGACGAGCGAGACGCGCGCGGGGTTGTTGCCGGACTGCGTCTCGGGGGTGTAGAGCGCCAGCAGCGGCTCCAGGGGGGACCAGCTGAAGCTCGCCACGCCCTCCGCCTTCACCGACTTCTTGTCCAACAGGCCTGCGCGGAAACGGAGCGGAAACAGCAATCAATCGGTGATTAACTCACGAGCAACGGGGGTAGAGGAAAATATGGCAGGGGGGGTAGAGTGCAACGGCGAACGATCAAGGAGCACTCAAATTCTGATCAAACAACATATCGCTCGATCCTGTCTGGTATCCTCTGATATCCTCTGAATATTGGCTGATAAAGAAAGATCGGAGACCGTTATTGCCACAGAAACGAAGAGGCGACCTGCATTTCCCCCAGATACAACACCCGAGCGATCTGTTCCCAACGAAGGGCATCCTTGTCGACGGTATCATCAACGCAACAACCTAGCTAAATCCAAGCGCTTTTCCAGACCGGACCTCAGCAAGGAGGTGGAAACGAGCTCCGAATCGCCGTGCCCGCTCACCCATGTCCTTGGTGTCGTAGACGCTAATCGCGTTCTTGCCCAGCCGCGCAAAGTACTTGTCCTCCTTGCCCCCCGCCCAGTGGAAGATGGGCCACTGGATGCCCGCCACGCCCGCCGCGCCCCCCACCGCAAAGTCGTTGGCGTTCCCCGCGATCTCGCGCAGCTTCTTGCCGCTGCGGATGTCCCAGATGGACAGCGTCACCTTCTGCGTGTCGCGCGGGTTGGCCGGCTCCTGGCTGCTGTACGTCACCAGGTACTTCTCGCCGGGGCTGAAGTCCAGCAAGCGCACCTGCGGGGCGAAGAAGTCGAGCGTCAATCGTTGAGCAAATGGTTCATATAATTTGGGCGACGCAAGCTTAAGGAAAGCCAAGCTAATATGTCCAGCGTGTCAAAGACGCCGACTTGCAAAAGATCGTCGCCCAGATCGTTCAGAAAGTTGAGAGGTAGGGTACGTGAATAACAGACAAAACAGACGCAGTTGAGACAGGATCTTCGAAGCAAACAAGACTCGAACCGACCCTCCTGATCCAGAACGTGCTCTAAGAAGCAGCATGCTAAATTCCAGCCGCAAATGCGTGCTCACCTGTGGATGTGCAAACCGCGCAAGCCTGCCCCAGCTCTCCCCTCCCCAGATGGCCGCTCCTGGTCGATGCACTGTTGCGATGTAGCTGCCAAGAGGCGACCACTGGACAAAGCTCTCCGTCCATACCTGCACAAAGAAAGGGAAAACAAACCGCTCAAAAACAGGAAAGCTGCCTCCCTGGGCCCGGGGCAAACGGCGGTGAACTTCTGATGGCAATTGCACACTCAAGTACTGGCGAGCTAATCGTAAATGTCACTTTCAGTCGATCTGTGCTGAGACTGGTGAATGCGCTGCTTACTAGCGGGTCATCAAGCGGAGCCTATTCGAAGAGGACCCGTGGCACGAGACCTTCAGGAGCTATGCGAAACCCTTCCTTTCGAGTGACGAGCAAGATCGAGGAGATCTTGTGCTATTTAAGGTTTTCGTTAAAACTGCTGTCGCTCCTCTGATACTCAGCTCGGAGTGTCTTGGCCTTGCCAGTGAGACGGAGAAGCAACGCCCCACTCAAAGGGTAGCCAAAACGTGCTTTACCATCCCAGCCAAGCGCACCAGAGGTGCTTGAAGCAACATAGGGCGTCGGCATGGGGCAGCCCAAAGGGTTCAACCAAGCAAAACCTCAAGATGAAAGCCCTATCCAGCAACGTTTCCATTAGGAATAAATTGAAATCACGGTGGCTGGCCCTCTTACAGGTCGGTGGTACACAAGGTCCGGCTTTCCTAGCCGTGCATCATTCCAGTACACCTCCGTTTCTGCTGCATATCGGATCACGAACTGGTCCCGCGCCCGTTCGTCTTGCAACCACCACAGCAAATCCTCCTGCAAAACATTTGATGCGAGAATTCTTGCAAAGAGTCCTGAGCATGCTCTGCTGAGAACCACTTACTTTGCAAACGGACAGAACGAGATTATTGAAGAGACACCGGCTGGTCTCTCGAATGCAACTTTCGATCGTACAACTACATTCTCCTCGCAAAGATCAGTAGGTTGCAAAAACCAGCCTACGCGATGAGCCCTTGCAATAGGGCCACTCAAGCATGGGGCCGTTTGGCATACGGGTTGTGCTATCCGGAGTCCCAAGCCTAGCAAATCTGAACACAACCAAGTAACCGTCACAAATCGACAATCCATGCCTGCCCTCATGCCGGCATGTGGCAGCAGGCTTTACCTTTGTCTGGTAGGGCTTCTTCTCAGGCGCCACGTACTGGTCAGGCACCTTGGAGTACTTGTCAAAGTCGTCGAACTTGGTGACCTTGAACACGTGGTTCTTGTCCAGCTTGTACTCGTCCGTCTGCTCCTTGGTCACGTCAGCCTCCTGCGCACACCACCGTCACTACTCAGCTTTAGACCTGACTGCACTCAGAAAGAGCCCCTCTAAAACAGTGTTATGAGAATAGGAATGAGTCCTTGTGGTGCGCTATGTGTAGAACTTGGCCGCTGCAAAAAACATTTGAAGGGCACAGGGAACACAGTCTCGATGATGGAAAACTACAGCCTTCGTTGGCTCAGCAGCTCTAAAAAACAGGTCCTGATTGTTTGAACTATAAGCACCACCCAACAGTCAGACGCAGACCGTGATGCCAACCCGCTCGACCTCGCACATGAAGTTTCAAGAAAGTGCGTCGGGTGTCTTGCCTGCGGCGTGTTGTACTCGATGAACGCGTAACCCTTGGACTGCTTCGTCTCCTCATCGACCGGCATCCAGAGGCCGTTCTCGCGGATGGTGCCCGTCCGCGCAAAAATCTTGCGGATGACCCCCACCAGCTTCTCGTACTTCTCGGGGGGCACCTCCGGCAGATTGTCCACCACGATGATGTTCCCAAACCCGGACTCCGTCTCCAGATCCGGCTCGTCGTCCTCCTCCTCATCACTGCAAACGTGTCAAAATGGGAGATGAGAGATCCGTGCCCTCTACTGGCATTGGGCGGGTCGGCGTCAGATAAAAGGAGGGATTGCACGGTTTCGGACTCCGGTGGCTTTGCCTCCTGCACGGAGATGGGAATTGCTTCTTGTGAAGCGCCACAGAGCCACAGGAATACGAGTTTTGCAGCCTCGTTTGATGGCTCAATGCGGGGTGACTTTCTGAGACGCCAGAAAAGACAGCTTCACATTCAAAAACCAATCAGTGAACCAGGAGCCATGCTGGAAGCGTTCATTGCTGAAGCCAGTCAAGTCAGACACACAGTGCGACTTTGGATGCTAGTGGGCCATTGCTGATGGCGCCCTATCGGGCTAGTTTCACTCACAGCTGATGCCCAGATAGGACAGGTCTGCACAGAATGACTAGCTCAAACTTGTAGGCTGAAATCCGAATGGCGTCTCTGTGCCAAATGATGCATGTTCGGGCGGGCGCTGCCTAACATGCCTCTCCAGTAGTACACATGTTGCCACCTGCTTCATGGCTTCCCTTGGATTTAACAACCGTCTGTCTTGCTGCTCAACGCTTGTTGGTGCTTGGATCACAAGCTGGGCATGCGCTGCCCATGGCAAATGAGTGCTAGTCAATGAGCTGACGGGTGCAGATAAACCCTCTGGATACACCATTACCAGCACCCATTAAAACGCAGGTATATAGAAGGCCAGCAAATTCAAGCACACCAGAAACAAGTAGACAACGAATAGCAAATCGCCTGCCAGCCTTTCCCTGCTTGATTTTCGCCGCCAAAACCAATTGCAAGTGCAAATTGCCACAACTGATGTGTACTTTTTGACTAGACTCTTAGGGGAGCTTTAACTTGCCCCGTGAGCCTCATGCACCATCGAGAGCATGGGTTCTATTACATTTACTGGCCAGCCCGATGACCTGGCCGACAACATGGCAAACAGGCAGTCAAGCGACTCAGCAGCCGGAATTGGCCCTCGTTCAGGGCATTATACTTTCCCATTGACCACCTCAGTCTGTACGAGCCACTCCCAAGGACACAAGCGGACTGAACAGCTCTCCTATACCACTACCAGGTATGGGTGCACGGAAGGCACCCCAGAGAAGCGGCGCCCCCACCTGTGAATGCCCAGGTCGTCCCCTGGTGGCAGCTGGATCTCATCAAGGTTCACTTGGCTCCAATCAATATCCAGAGTGATATCGTCTTTTGCGGCCACCTCATGGGGTGGCGTCGGCGGTGCCATCACGTCCGCCATCGTGGCTGAGCGATGGTGAATGAGCGAGCACCAATGACACTATAACTTGCTGAAATTGCTCGTCCTCAGGAATAGAATCGTACTTCAAAGCTGCTCCTTGTGGAGCCCCTTGAGATCAGATGATTCAAAGGAAGATCCAGCACCTCCACAGGCTTCAACTTCAAGGTTTCAAGCTTCACGAGCGCTGTTTATCGGAAATTATCCCAAATCTGAACAGCCTTCTTCCAACATCCCAGGACCCAAGTCATGCATCCCAAGTGAAGTCTGGCAGGTCGAAGGACTCCGGGGGGACTCCGGTAACGGAGCTTCAAGTGAAGCCAACGGAACCCGTCGTTACCATATACCGACTCACTTCGGAACTTAC